AACAATAGTTCGGCAAAGAAAGTTGTTCGTTATCGTTGCGTAAAAATAAGTCTTTAAATGTATTTACGTTTCCTAGCAAACATGCCAATGTACACGTATAAAATAAACCGATTAATCGGTAAAAGAACAACCGCAATGATACTATATGCAATACAGTTATTATCGTGATTAATTAAACCATAAATAATTTAAATCAATTATTCGGGGCACCGAAAAATAAACTAACCTTTATATAAATGAAAAAATTAAATTGCTTTAGTATCCAAATATATTAAAAATTTTATTTAATTTATTAATTTAACATTAAATTATAATTCTATTGAAGTGACGTTTTTAGACACATTTTGAGAAGAGTTTTTTTTTCAATTTTTCAGTTCTATTTATCTCTGAAATAAAAAGTACAATGGAAAGTGCAAACTGAACAATGAAAATTAACAACGTGGAATATGGCTCTTTAATTTAATGACTTGCGTATTAATATTCACAAAGCAAAAGTTCCAAATTAAGAGTCAAATTACAATAGTATATTAAACCCGGATATTCCATATAAAGCATATATTATACTCTTCACTGTGTATATTACTTTATTATGTAATTATTGTTGGCCTCTTATTTGTGAAAATCGAGTATTTGTTTAAAAATTCCTAACAATTAAATCAAAATAAATATAATCTAACCATTATAATTTCTTATAATGAAAAGCTACGTATTCAATCATATTATTTTAATCTTATATTTTATTCATTTTATTTATTTATTATTTTCTATTTTCCTACGAAATTTTATTGCATATTAGTATTTTAATGTGGTGAATTTAGATTTTATCGATTTATCGATAACCGATTTCATAGAAGTAACCTAATTTCATCAATATTTTAACGAAAAAGGGATTTTGAAAATATTTTAAAGAAAAAGAGTTTTGAAAATCATCGTAATGCAATGTCTTTCTCGCCGACTAACCTGTACAGTGACACAAATTAAACGATTCCTAATGGCCATATGAATTCAAAAATTTAATTAGAAAACTACTCTCACAAAACTGCGTTCTGCAGCACATGCCACTAATACATTCGCTCGTACAACATCTTTAGTTGTATACTCGCTGTGCAATGCGCACAGTTAATGTGGTTGATGTACATGGCAGTAGCCGAATTCCGTCCAGGGGTGCTGAAAATTTCTGAAAATCCGTCCCAAGGGTAGAGTAACTACCACCGATTACCATTCCGGCACTACAAAACAAAGTGTGTAATGCTTATTTTGAGCCCTTTCCAAGATTAATATTATATTACTTTTATACTGCTGTTGCTGTACAGCTGTAACTTATATTGTACGTTATATCGTCGTCTCAGTTTAAGACTGCAATAACTCAAAAAAACTATTATTGAGATATCGACGCCTCAGTTCAAGACAGCAATAACTCAAAAATATTCAGAATATTCAGTTATCTACGTGATATTATTTGCAAAATTAAGACGATTTCGATTCTATAACGCAATAACTTTTAGTTGCATTATTCACCTCTAGAGATCGTTTATTTCATTCTAGAACCAGTAGTTTCATAATTTGAGTTATTGCAGTCTTGAACTGAAGCATCAATATAATTTTATATAGGTTTTGTAATTATTTTTATTTTATTAAAAGATATTCACAATATGTAATTAAAAAAAAAGTAATTTACAAGCTTATACATTTTTACAGCCCACAAATAATTTGTGGAGGAAATTATTCACTAACAACTCCTCATAATATATACACTTATTTATAACTAATTACCTACTAATTTTATGGAACTATATGGAACAACACTGAGAAATAAAGTCCCCCTGTTCTTTTTTGCCATTTTACACCCTGTAAATAATTCACTTAGTCTAAACCTATTTTATTCTGTGATTTTCATTTTTACACGTGAAATTCGTTTATTTGTGATTCCGTTTCCTATTATCTATGTAGACATATACAGTGGTGTAATTTTAGTTTTTGAGAATGGAGGGGGCAAAAGTTTTCTTCGGCTCATATTATAACTGAAAAAAAAAATCCGCTCGCTAACAATTACACAAATAAAATATTATATTAGTGAAATACCCATTGAAAAATAGAATAATTCATAATATAATATGAAGAAGTAAATAATTTGAAAAATTAATTTCAAGCGGGTTTGTGGCCCATATCCGGCCCACTAATGCATTATTATCCTGCCTTCCAAATTACGCCACTGGGTGTATAGTATTTTTATGTACGATATGTAAATGCTAATTGGATACACTCAATGCAATTTAAATTCCTGTTTTTTTTTAGATGAATATTATATTTAATAATACACATTTTTATGGTTTCTGAAGTTAAATTTGTTCATTACACTCGGGCATGCGCAATGCTACTTTTTTTTTCTTAAATAACAACCCTCACTTTTGAGCACAAATTTTTAAGAATTTTAATGGTTTAATCGACTTTATCTAAAATTTTATTTGTCTAAAATTGGTTGAATTACAGCGATTTAACGAATAGCGTTAAATATTTATGAATATCCAATGAAGACTGATAACATAACTATTACGAGTAGGTGATACGAAATCGACAGTTCGGAGTTTTATTATAATAATCAATACACAAGATTTTTGCGGTACTGTGTAGAGGACACGGAACTCAGACGTGGTCGCTCCACCCCTGGGACAGAATTCGGGCTCCAATTTTCACCCTGCAGATGATCCGGGACGGAATTTGGAACCAGCAGTGTACGTTACAACTGATGTGGTTTCATTCGCGGCACCATAACCAGAAGGTTTGCGCCAAGAGAGAGCGTACCTACCGCACGTAAGCTACATCTCAAACAGATAGTCACACGTGGATCAAAATATAACTCCTATTTTTACAAAATATACCTCTACACACACACACACACACACACACGCAATCATGAATACATAAGAACTTAAATATATACACTCGCAGCATGCTCTTAAATACTCACAAACACATATACTATAATATATACATGAACACACACACACACACATATCCATGCGTTACGTGTATACCTGCTAAAACGTGCACTCGACTAATTATCAACCTACACCACCAACCCTATCAAAATCATCTTTATATTCGTTCGCTCGCCGAATATGTATATATGTACATGTCGCATTCGCCGTTATGGTTTTAGTTTCAGACAAAATTGGTATATTATTATTATTTGTGTTATAACACGGTCACCCCCTGCCGCTACTAGTGATATGATAATATTATTAACTTACTGTTTTACGAGTCCCAAAACGTTTTCTTCCCGATTATTATTATAATAATAACGCATGAGCAATAAACGAATTTTAAGATACTTATGTAATTATTATAGTATATTTCATATATACTATGTACCTATATAAATAGGATATATGTATTGTAAATTATAGCTTTAGAAATTTTAGCTTTATTACAAAGTTAACTTTTCGTTGTTTATCTTTAAAAAAATCTGTTAATTATATTTAAATGCTATTTTCATTGTCAATATTTATTTACTTATGGACAAACATAAGAGCCAACACTGTCAGACTTTTATAACTTATTCTTGCCCTTAACCAAGTTTTAAGTAGCTTTAAAGATGACAAACTTCTTTCTGCTGTTTCTACAAAAATTGGCAATGTAACTAAAAATTAAAAATATTATAAATGTATTGGATAGTAATTTTAATCTAAATAATTAAATGTCTCATGAGCACAATTTATATTTTTAAAATCAGGATTTACCAATAAAGAATAATTATTTTTTTTTTTTTTATGGAAATGACAGAGACAATGTGTGACGCGCCTTGGTTAACGATTTCTATAATTATTATTACAGTACAAAGTATTATATTATCAATTGATGCAAGGCTACACAATTAATGGTGTGTGGTTTGTATTTATAAGAAATTATTACCCATTTTATACCATATAAATAATTCATATTGATAAAATGTTATAATTGTTATAATAAAAATAAATAAATAAAATAAAATAAATGTTATAATTCTTAAATTACCAATAACAATTCTACGTAAACGTGCAATACATGATTGAAAATCGAAAGATTATTATAATTATTCAAATCTATAATGATATGCATCATATTGCATAATCATTAACAAATTTGTATCATATTGCACTATTACACTCAATAATAGATTTAGAATATTTACACTAAAATACAGATAGCAAAAATATATTGTTTTAATGAAAAAAATATTAAATTTTTAAATTATTAATTCTAAAAGAACAATAACATATTATTAAATTTATTAGTACTACGCACAATTGAACTTTATAATAACAATTAATAAACGATTGCATCGCCAATCACACTCCAAAATACTATATAAGATCATATATTTTATGCATGCGACATTTATTTAACTAACGTTTATCAGATATTCAATTCGAATATAACTATCCAGTCTACTTAATTAAACGTACTTATACCCTCTGTTGATTTTCATCTTCAAGACATACAGAAAACTGAAGGCACATATATTTACAAAACAAAGGTATGGAATATAACTAACAATAATCAAGTAGTATATGGAATAATTAAATGTTCGGTATATTAATCGTAAACCATACGTGTTAATGTATGTAAAGGTATTACATTTAATATGGTATATTAATTAGGTAAATATCATATCGTAACAGTCGACACAATCTCTATTTTTAAGCCATATTTTTCTTATATGGTTGAACTCGCTAATTTCATTCGTTATAAATTATAAATAAATAAAATATATAGAAATTAGATACCTAATGCAGGCTTAATCTAAAACTATTAAGCCTACTATAAATTTAGACTCTAGTCCATAACATTTCGGTTTGTACGTTAATATAAGGTAATACAAGGTAACAATAACATTATACGTGACCAACTCGTGGTTATATAATGGTCGGTAAACTACATTGAGATGGGTGATGCATCGCGTACAGTTAGCGGGGTGATCGGTTGATAATACACCCTACCCTCAACATTCCCAACACGTCTTTGGTCTTTGTTCATTCACGGCCCCTTACCACCCGGCGAATGACCATCCAGTGGCCATTGTTATATCGTCGTCTACACGGTGCGCACATCCCTCATTATAATTATTAAAACATTTTTCTGTACATCTCACAGTTTCGACCTGCACAAGAAGCGCTAAATACTCTACAATCATTTGAACATCGTGGATGACAAATCGATAATTCTGAAATTCACGGTATAGTATTTATTTTAATAATAAACCCTTTATAATACTATATTTTGCGATGGATCTAACGACGCAGGTGTCAATCGTATAACCTCGATTTGCCGTTCCGGCACAACGTCTCGTTGGTTTTTCGTTTACAGAATAGGTAATGTTCAACTTTTTACAAAAAATTACGCCAGCTATTAGTATAACGATAACTAACAATCAGAATAAGGAATCGGACCAGCGTTCTTATGTTAAAAATACTATACACCTACTTAGATAATAAAAAAACGGAATAACAAACAAACCATTTCACATGTGAATATTAAAATCACAAAATAAAATAGCTTTTGACTTATTGTATTATTTATCTAATAAAAATATGACGGATTGCAAATGATAACTAAGTAAGACTCCAACTGTCGCAAGATCTAGAACCTTTGAATACAATATATTTATCTAAAATATTAATCAAATTATTCGTTTAAATGTATTTAGTAGCAACTACTTATACATAATATAATACCTCAAATTGTTTTCAAAAAATATTTTATTAATATTTTTCTGATTATTAAGTATGGTATGTTTTAGTTTTTAGAAAATAAAAAATAGCCAGTATAATGTTTGGGTCAATTTTCAAATTATCTACAAAATTAAACAACCAGTCCATTGTGATGACTCTATCTAGGAGTATAGTTCAACAACGTGCTAGTATGGAAGAATATTTCAAAGACAAACGTTTTATAGTTACAGGAGCCAGTGGTGGTAAATATAAATTACCTATTAACCTATTTATAACTTAATTATATTATGTACTTATAATAGAACATATATATATATAATTTTTGGGTGTATATAATATTCAATAATTTCTATTATTGTTATTAGTTATAACATTTATAATTTATTATCAAATAGTCGAATGAAACAAAAAAGTTAATGATTTTAATAAAGTCAAATAAGGGTTGTAAAAATATTTGACCCCAAAAACTATATTATGTAATAAGAAGTACTTGTGTAGCTAAAACACATTTATTTGATATGACCAAGTGTTTGAGATAAACTTTTTTTTTTGCAAAAGGATGTTGTTAACATATAAGTTGTAAACGTTATAAAATCGGATCAAGTAATTAACAATTCTTAGCATATTTTTTGTTCACTTATTGTCATGAATTTCAAAATTAATTCATTCACACATATTTTGAATTATCATATTAGTGGGTTTATAAAATAATCCCAACAAATTAAATTAATTTTTGTGTAATCGTGATTATTAAATACTTATAAATAATAAGCTAACAATGCAAAATTACAAATTATAGTATACTCACAAACATATATATTTTATTCAATATATACATACGTAGATATATGTGTACTGTGTATGTATTTATTCTTAATAAACGTATCAAAGTATGATTTGTGATTATAATTTAATCCAAAAATGTGTTATACTGCCTGCTACTTAGTAATATATTTAGTTGATTAATTTACAATATTTTCTTTTTATATATAATATATTTATTGGTGTTATAAGTAAATTGCATATACTATATAATATAATTTTAATTCAATGATTTGAGTCATGGGTGAGTATGCTTTTAATGTTAAATTGAATAACAGCTGAAGACACAATTACCATTTTTTAGAGTAAAAAATATAATCTAATTTGTTCTATCGTTAAAGTTTTTTGATTATTTATGTCTATAACTTTACTTTTAACTCTCTCGCCAAAATCCTTCACTACAACACTAAAAATATTACTATACGTAAAATATAGAATAATTTTTTTTTTTCACTGTTTCAATGGCTGTTTTAATTCTTTAAACAACTATGCACGAACATTCAATTTTCAATTATTATAAATTAATAAACCGCAAGACTTACATAAACCATTTTATGTTGTAACCTAATTGACTGAAATTCATTTCAAAATAATATTTTAAGTTATTATTTTTAAATATAAGATCTAAAATATAACTCAATATACAAAATTTAATCCATAAATTATCAAGGTAAAATTCAAAAGTAATTTAAGATTTTTTTCTTGTCAACATATAGTGTGACAGTGTGGCTATATCATTTTCATTACATTATACTCGAACCATATATATATATATATATATAAAGAAAAAAAATATATATACATTTATATTTTAACTTACAAAAATGTACGAAAAAATACATGTTACCTAAATAATCAAATATTTTGCAAAGACAGAGTAACAACATTTCGCTTCAAACATTACTTAACCCATATTCAAACTTATCTAGCATATACAACATAGGCGTGTCCAGAGGCCAGTTATAAAATTTAAATTCTTTACTTACTATAGCGATCTATAATCTATATTTATATTTGTGACTTATTTTTGTTGTATGGAAAGTATATAGCAGCTAGAATTTTTTTCGTCCCGCCAAATCAAAGATTTTTCTAATCTTAAAATTGGTTTCCTCTGCTATTAAAACAATGAACTTATAAATGAGGCCTATTAACTATTGTACTACTTACTTATTTTTTATAAATATTTTATCAAGTATACATCAACCTTCTCTACACATCTTATTATCTACAGTTATTACACAATAAACAGTTGTTCATTAAAATATTACAAATAATAAAATTCAATAAATTTAAAATTTAAATTTACCTTCTACTTAAAATTACCTATTGTTACTGTTTCAGCCACGGATATAGATATTATATATATATATATCTCCGTGGTTTCACTATTATAAGCCAAGAGGCCAAGAACGTCGCTGAGGAGGCTGGTGCCCACCCTGCTACCCCCGTAGACACGCCAATGATATACAACGATAATAAAAATCATACATCATATTTTACTCTTATAATTTTTACAAAATCTTAATAATTCAGTTACCAACTTTAAGGACTATAACATTCAAAATAGTTTATATATTTATGTATCGAGTATCAACAATTAATTTCTGTTTTGTGGCTAAGAGAAATATGAAATATTTATGCTACTACCATTTATATATTTAATATATTTAATCATATAGTCCTCCAAAAATGTACCCAAATTTAGTATTATATTTATTTAATGCTACGCGGGAACCTAAATATTAATATAATTTACTACCATACTACAACTTATAATAATTATCCTATTTATTCAATCAATATACAAAGATTTTTATGGATCAATCATTATACAATATAGCGGTAATTATCATTCGTATTATTATATATTAGTTAATTTTTTTAAATACAAATCATAACCTGAACATTTATTTATAACATTTTGACTGAGTAATACCATATATGTCAATTACTCAGTAAAAAACATTTATTAGATGTCTTAAATGTAAAAAATGAGTACGATTTACAATTTCGAAGCATTATTTATTATGTTTATAAAATGTGTAAACTAATTAACATATATTTTTAATAATTAGGAATAGGTAAAGTTATCGTCGGACGATTAATAGCATTGGATGCGCATGTATTTGCAATTGGAAGAGATGTGGATACATTACCAAGTTCTGATAATAAAAAATTGATTAAAGTGACCGTGGACGTAGGTGAATGGGACTCAGCGTATTCGAAAGTCTTAGAAATGGGACCTGTCCATGGATTAGTAAACAATGCAGGAGTAGCACACATCGAATCTTTTCTTAATACAACACAACACGGATGGGATGAGTATGTTAATATTAATTTATTTTATATTTCTTATTTATAGAAATTATGATTAATAATTTAAAAATATTTATATACCATACGGTTGTAGACATACTAGTTAATGAGTATTGAAGTTTTACACCAATAATTCACAGTTATGATATTTTCTATAACAATTAATTGTTTCATAATATTAATAATATACAACATAAACCTAAATTTATAAAATTCGCTTAACTCAGCTATATAATTCGACAATTGGTATCAAAGTTAATTCCAAATATTAATATTTATATATTTATAATACAAAATTGATACCTTGTCGTTAAACGATTAAGAATAAAATAATTATTTTTGATTTAGATAATTATATTAAAATTATATACCAAAATTTTTTATTCTTATTTTTAGTACTTTGAACATAAATGCTAGAGGAGTCGTGAGAATAAGTCAAGCAGTGGTCAAAAATATGATTGCTGCTAAAATTCAAGGAGCAATAGTTAATGTTTCATCTACTATATCAGAAGTTATTATTCATATATATATATTTATATTTAAGGCATAAACATATTTTTAATTATATTCTAATATTAAAGATAAAAACGTGCCATGTTTAATCTTCAAATTAGAGGATTCAATCTCAATAGTGAATGAGTGAACATATTAGAACTTTTAAAAAATAATCTTTCAAATAATTTTTGAAATAATATTCTATAAAATAGATATGTGTGTATTGTTATATTATAAATGGTATATAATTTAAACTCAATTTTAGAAAGCAATTCCGGACCACGTATCATATTGTGCATCTAAAGGAGCTGTAAACCAGATTACAAGAAGCATGGCAATCGAATTGGGACCACTTGGCATAAGAACAAACAATGTAAATCCAACTGTTGTGATGACTAGAATGGGGAAAAAAGCATGGAGTGATCCTGCAAAATCTGGTCCAATATTACAAAAAATACCATTGGGAAAATTCGCAGGTTTGTAATATAGTTTATAGATATTTTATTAAATTATAACACAAAATATACTTGAAGACTAATACATTTACATAAAAAAAACTTATACATATGTATTGTGTTTTACAGAACCTAACGATATTGCGGATGCAGTTATGTTTCTATTGAGTGACTACTCACGAATGGTTAATGGTCTGAATTTGTATGTGGACGGAGGTTTTATGACTGGTTAAATCTGTAACAATAATTTTTGATCTCAATATTAATAATTAACTTAGTTATACGGCGAACTATTATATTGTTATTAAAGAGTATGTCTATTGTTGAAAGTATGATCATCTAATAAACATTATATTCATTTTTCCATTTATTTTTATTATTGCACTTAGTATACTTAAAAATCTAAAGTTATTTAAATGTCAACAATCTTTATTCAAATAAGTTTATATACATTTTTGAAAGTAAAATATAAAATTACCAAAAATAAGTAAATGAATATTAAAATGAAGATAGTTATTTATGAAAATTATTTTCTGTAAAATCGACACATTCACTATTTTATACAACAGTTATAATATAAACTATAATATAATACACGTATATAACAGTTTATTTTATTTTAATAGTTTAGTATTTATAAAATAAATAATAGGTTATTACAAATATCATGTTATATTATTTTTATAAAAAATTGTATAATACTCTTCTAAATTAAAATCTAATGTTGTCCAAATATTAATAACGCAATTTATAGCTACCAACCAATGTTATATAGGTTATTGAATACTCAAAGGACAAAGCAATTTGCAAAGAAAAGTAAGAAATATCATAAATAATAATATAATATTCAATTCACGCTGTGTAAATCATATGTTAATATGTTTAAAAATATTGCATTTATCTATAAAAAAAATAATAAATACTTAAAGTAAATATATAGTATAATAGTTATATATTTTCTACAATATTAGGTCCTGTGTGTTTCATAGTTGAAATCACCCCACTCTCTTCATTCATAGTTAAATATAAATTATAATATTTATAGAAATTAGGGTATGGCATCGCAGGCTTAATCTCAATTTCCTATATTTACTATGAGATTTCAATTACTAAATTAAAAGTTTACTGTAACACTTCGGTCTTCACTATATTATAAGGTAATGCAATATATATCTCAGTGTTCACTTTATTTTTGATTCATTACAAAACGTTAATTGGATTATTTAAATAAAATAACATGATGAAAATAATTAAGAAACATATACCAGGAGTGGCCAATTTTTATAGACTTGTGATCGACTAGTGGTTTTTCTAGGTTGCCACAATCGACGAAAAAACAAAATTGTCACTGACCAAAACTATATTTTATATACATACATGTTAAACTTCCTTTATTTCTTCTATTCAAAATATTAATAGGTAATAATGACTTGAGTTTTACAATTCAAGCAACATATATTCCATTATATTTTTTATCAATTTATACAAATGCGATAAAGACCGTTATTTAATACGGAATATTCATTATAAAACGTCAACTATACATAGATACTATGTATTTATAGCTACTCGATCTCAGTGTATGATTGCTTTTTTCATAGTTATTTATTACTATAAATTCCCTATATTAATTGTTATTAATCTAATTTTATATTCATAGGTTAAACAAAGATATAAAATTTACATAAAAAAAAAAAATGATATAAAAATCTCGTGTCACAGTGTTTGTGACCATACTCCTCCAAAACGGCTTAACTGATTTTAATGAAATTTTGTATGTATATTTGGTAGGTCTGCGAATATGTTTTTATCTATTTTTTTTATACTCCTAAGTGCTATTATTTTATAAATCGTAGTTTAATTTAATAATATTTGAACCGGTCGATAACTGCGCAATTGAATAATTATTAAATGATACTATTAAAAAACTATTAAAAACTATCTAAAAAGTATTAATTTTATTTTTCGTATTAAATAGCGGGTATTGCATAAATATTAAACAACAAGATCCCCCAACAGGGGCCAAGACAGAAAAAAATTTTAGTTTGAAGGATTATTATAGGTATCGGTTGATGATTCAATGCGATCAGGACAACGTTATTCTACGATGTTGTGAGCTTGGTCAACAATTCTTGGTCAACAATTCATGGTCGACATGTATGTTAATATAGAGAGCAAATGATTACAATACTTGCGATTCAATAAAAAAAAAAAGTGCATGTGGAAGATTCTCAAAACAATTGTTAGATATCGGTGATGGGAAAGTTACTACAGGTGAAACGGGATACATACAATTACCGACCAATTTCTGTACAATCATTGATTCGCAAGATGCTCTCATTGACCAGATATTTCCCAATGAAACACTGACAATACACAAATCATGAGTGGCTGGCAGAAAAAGCTATTTTAGAAGCAAAAAATGTGGACATCAACGAATTGAATCTCAAAATACAACATTTGTTACCAGGACACTTGGTGTCATACAAATTAATTGATACAGTTTGCGATGCTACTGAGCTGTAAATTATCTAACAGTTTTTAAACTCATTAGATTTACCAGGCATGTCACCGCATAATTTACAACTGAAGGTTGAATCTCCGGTTATTTTGCTTCGTAATTTGAACCCACCACAGTTGGGCAACGGCACGCGATTAGTCATTAAAAAATTAATAAAAAATGTTATCAAAGCCATCATTTTAAATGGCAAATTCTGAGGTGAAAATATACTATTACCGCGAATCCCTATTATATCCAAAGATATGCCAATACAATTTAAACGCCTTCAATTTCCAATTAGATTGGCATTTGCAATGACTATTAATAAGTCTCAAGGCCAAACGATGTCTTCTGTGGCTTAGATTTGAGCACGTCATATTTTTCACACGAAGCACGTGGCGTGCTCTCAAACCATCCAGTTTGTTTGTGTTGGCGAAAGATGGGATAACAAAAAATATTGTACACTCTGTTGCATTAAGGGATTGATATTGTTTTTACTAATATTGTCATAATTAGCGATATATATATAATTTTAAAGGAACAATTTCAATAAATGATTAAAAAAAATAAATGTTTGATATTTTTTTCATTTTTATATTCCGTCACCGTTCATAGCACTTCTTCCATTTATAACCACATCCTTACACACCCAGGGCCGTATTTACGCCTAGGCCCGTGAGGCCCGGGCCTAGGGCGGCAAATTTTTTGGGGCGGCAAATTTTGTAAGAAATAAAAAAAGAATCATATGAATGCATGAAATATTTATATGATTTTTTTTTAGATATCTGTATGTAAAATATACGGGCGCATGAAACTGAAATGTCACTAACCCGAAATCAATTTTCTCGTAATGTGAGCTATAAAGATAAGATACCTACCTAGGTATATAATAATATAAGTTGTTCCTAAAAGTAATTACGATAAAAATATAATATATATAGAAATTGGCTAAAGATATTGTGTATCCACATCGCACACGACCACAATTCATTTCAGTTTATTGTTCGTCATTGTCGGGAGTGCATATTACAACATATTTTAGATATCTACAAGAATTATATAACTTTTTCACAGCATCTACCCATCGTTGGGAAATTTTACTATTTTATTTAAAAAAGTCTAAGTGTGTAAAAAGTTTGTCTCAAACCCGATGGTCAGCAAGATACGAAGCGGGTAAATCTTTATGTACTTCTTGGAGTGAAATTAAAAACGCTTTACAGGCTATTATTGACGATGCCAATGAAAAACCTGTAACAAAATTTGACGCTTCAGTTCTTTTGAAACCTTTTAATACTATAGAAATGTGCTTTATGACTGTTTTTTGGAATGAAGTATTAGAAAGGTTTCATATAGTTAATAAAAAACTTCAATCAGTTAATATTGAGTTAGGAATGATTGTTGAATTATATGGATCCTTAGAGCAGTACATATCTAGAATTAGAAATAATTTTGAAGAATATGAAGGAAAAGCTATACAAATATGCGGTGAAATGCAGTACAAAAAAGACAAGCGGAGAACTGTTAAGAGAAAACGTCAATTCGACGAAACAATGAATGAAGTGATCACAGAAACAGGCAAGGAAGATTTCAGAATAAATGTATTCTTCGTTATATTGGATAAATTGAATGCTGAACTCGTAAGGCGAGGCAGTTCATATAAAAATTTATGTGTCAAGTTTGATTTTCTTACAAATATTTGTAGTTTTGACGAGGAAATAATTTCTGAAAAAACTAGGGCACTAATAGAACAATATCCTAATGATATTGAAGAATCATTTACAAATGAATGTCTTCATTTGCGTGATCATCTTTTTTTTAAATCTGATAAAAAAAGAAACGCCCAAGAACTTTGTAAGATGTTGTATACAAATGATTTAATAGATATTTATCCGAACGTCACAACAGCGTTACGTATGTATTTGTGCACGTTTGCAACAAATTGTACAGCAGAGCGGTCGTTTTCAGCATTGAAAAGAGTAAAATCGCATCTTCGTTCAACTTTGGAGTCAGATAGATTAAACGCGACATCAATACTACACATAGAATCTGAGATGCTTCGAAGTATAAATTATGATGATATAATCGACGATTTCGCGTCTAAAAAAGTTCGTCGTAAAATGTTATAGATAACATAGGTTATGATTAGGTATAAGTTTAACTATTAAGTATTACTAGGTATAAGATTAAAGATTATTAAGATTATTTTAAGATTAAGATTCAAAATGTATACTGATAATGCCTAATTAGGATTTATAATTATTATTTGTTTTGTTTATAATGACTATTGACCTAATTTCTTTAAAATGAAATAAATTTATTTGTAATAATTACAATTTTTTTTTCTTGGGGTAGAGGCGGCATATTTAAAAGGGCCTAGGGCGGCACTTGTTCTAAATCCGGCCCTGTACACACCTATATTAAATAAGTTATTTTTTTCTAACAAAATATTCTCTAAAAATAATATATAAGACAAAACAATGTTTATCAGATCAGCTAATTAATATATAATTTATTTGTTTTCTGAAAAAAAAAGAAAAGTAGCCGCAATCGACTCGAACTCATATCACTATCAGTTCGTTGGCCATCCTTGGCTTGTAAAATGTCGTTTATCATAATTTTCTAGTACCAATGGTCCCGAGAGAGCATATAAAATGTTTTTAAACGTGTAAAATCACGTAGTAGTACGCTAGACGGATAAACGTGACATTCCAATGCTTCGACCGTTGTCGAAAACTAAACTTTTATAGTCATGAGAAAAATGTTATACCTACAGAGTCATGTTTTAATTTCGATTACCGTTTACCTTTATGTTTATCACTTCGATTTCTTTATTATATAGCACTAACGAGTGTAACGAGAACTTTGAATGACTGATGAAATTTTATTTTGGGATAAAAGTAATTCAACAGCGGACGATCCTATAAGTAAGGGAGCAGGTTTTGAAATTTTTCAAGAATTTCGTGGAAGATTGAATGCTCTGTAAACATTTTCAACGCCTATAATAATACACAAAAACAGTAAGATAATGATATATATTGGAATAAATGTCTTGAAAAATTCGTCCGATCTCGTCAAACATTTCCGTTCTCTCTTAAAATAACAATTATGTGCCCTCACCATAATAACACACCTTCACGAAAGCAAATAAATTGATATTGTGTCATCGTTATTGATATACTTAAGTTATTTTGAGTATTATAATTTTTATAAAAAGTAAAACTTTTAAGTTTATTATTAGTGCTTTTTCGTATGCAAAAATTACATTCCAATGGTCGTCAACATTTAATACAAAGGATATAAATTGATTTTTATTTGAAACGTAATATAATTAGTATTTGAAAAATTCATGAAATATGAGATTGTGAAATATTTCAGTATTTTAAAAAAAATTGTTTGTCTTTTAAATATATTTAATTTTTTTGTATATTTCACATTTTTTAGGTAGAACAAATTAATAAGACCCATTAGTCATTAAATTAATTTAATTTTGTTATATTTTTAATTTTTAAAGTTTATCATTAGTTAAATTTTGTTTATTAAGAAAATTACATGTTAAATTTTTAATACAGTAAGATTTAACACTATGAAATTTTAGTATGTTAAGTTTCAAAAACAATAAGGATTGATAAAAATTAATGTAAATAATAGGTACTTACTATATATACCTATCATATAAGTAGTAGGCACCTACTCTATTTTTCCATAAATAATTATTACATTAAATATCTGGATATCTAATCACCATATATGACCATTATTACTATGTGTAAAGTGACGTTAAAAAGGTTTTAAATTCACGGATAAATGATAATTTTGTACCTATATTTTACTCTAAGTAGCAAAATATGAGTACAAAATTAACGAACTAAATACGTCCATGCCACGTAGTCTTGATTTCTAAACTCGATAAAAATAAATATAATACACAATCGAGATCAATCGAAATATACTATCCGTGGACGATGGGACAATCGTGCTAAATAAAAACAGAACACCATTATACATAATCAATTTGTATTTATCCAATGGTCGGTATACTATCTTGGTAAAGGTCTACACTGATATTACCACCCTCCCATCGTTGATCCCGAAATATCTATGGTTTTTTTTCATCCATAGTGCCCTTGCTGACCAGCGCCTGGCAGTCCATTTTCGCATCGTCTTCCCCATCGAGCACACGTTTCTCGCAACTTTTGTTCGGAACACTTCCTCTGTTAATCTCACAGATTCAACAAGCACAAGTAGTAGCACTAAACACTCACCAGCTGTTTAAATAATAATACCTTAGACTGCAAACCGAGCGTTCCGAAATCAACGGTCAGTATTCATTTTAATTATAAACCATTATTAAACTATATTATATTTCGCGATGGGCTTAATTAGGCGACGTTATTCGTACAATCTCGAAACGAGAGTTTTAAATGTTTCTGTTTATTTTTTCTTCTAATCCATCAAACAATTCAACACAACGTCCCATTGGTTTTTCAATTCACCAGCGCAAGTAATGTTCAACTTTTTACAACAAATTACACCGTTGTGACGGTAACTAAAAATCAAAATATAGAATAAGACCAGCGTGATTATGTTAAAAATACTATACACTCAGTGGCGTCATTTGAGGGTCAGGGTGGGTATTCGCGCCCCCCTCCATAATCATTAGCGGGCCGGATATGGGCCGCAAACCCGCTTGAAATTAATTTTTCAAAATATTTACTTCTTTATATTCTATTATGTATAATTCTATTTTTCAATGAGTATTTCACTAATATAATATTTTATTTGTGTAACTGTTAGCGAGCGGATTTTTTTTTCAGTTATATTTGAGCCGAAGAAAACCTTTGCCCTTCCCTCCTCTACACTCAAAAACTAAAATTACGCCACTGTATAGGTTACACCACTGTATATGTCTACATTGATAATAGGTAACGGAATCACAAACAAACCAATTTCACAAGTAAAAATGAAAATCACAAAATAAAATAGGTTTAGACTAAGTAAATTATTTACAGGGTTTAAAATAGTAAAAAAGCAGGGAGGACTCTGATTCTCAGCTTTTCATATAGTCCCATACAATTAGTAGGTAATTAATTATAAATAAGTTAATATATTATGAGAGGTTGTTAATGAATAACTTCCTCCATAAACTATTCGTGGGCTGTAAAAATGTATAAGCTTGTAAATTACTTTTTTTTTATTAACATATTGTGAATATCTTTTAATAAAATAAAAATAATTACAAAAACCTATATAAAATTATAGAATACTATATTATTTATATTAAATAGTAGTTTTGTTTGTAGAACACTTTTTAACGCCTAGTGACATTAACTAACTTGCAAAGCTACTTTTTAACTGTTTTATGTATGATTATTTTTAACAAACAGTCGATCGTTTTAATGAACTTTTCGGAGAAATGTTAAAGGGGGCGCTTTATAAGCACTATGAGAGGTAGGGAGACTATGCCCCTTTGCGTGTCCCCCACTTTAAGCCCTGATTATATTTCTAATAAAAATATGATGGGATAGCAAGTGGTAACTAAGTAAGATTCCAAATGTCCAAAGATCTTGAACCTTTGAATTCAATTTATTTATCCTAAATATAAATCAAATTGTTCGTTTAATGTGTATGGTAGTAACTACTTATACATACTATAATACCTCAAATTATTTTCAAAAGTATTTTACACATATTTTTTTTATTATTAAATATAGTGTTTAAGTTTTTAGAAAATAAAGAAAAGCCAGTATAATGTTTGGGTCAATTTTCAAATTGTCTACAAAATTAAACAAACAGTCAATTGTGATGACATTATCTAGGGGTATAGTTCAACAACGTGACAGTATGGAAAAATATTTCAAAGACAAACGTTTTATAGTCACAGGAGCCAGTTCTGGTATGTATAAAATAATTGTAATGCCCATTTATAACAAAAATATGTTATGTATTTATAATTTACAAACTGCATTTATTTTTACAAGCTTTAGCTATTTAAATTAATTTTAACTTTTTGCCTAGATATTTTTTGGATTAAATGTGATATATTGATTTACATTTTAGATCATATTAACTATAATAATTATAATTAATATAATATATAACATCAATTATTAACGACTTATGAGATTATTTTAAAATGAATCCCAATCTATTCCTTAAGCGCTGAAAGTGATTTCTGTATATTTTGTGGCTTAATAAATTGTACTATTTTAAATTTATCTCTTAAAATTTTCCTTGAATAACTTCAGTTTGGTTTTTTATTTTTTTCTAATAAAAGTTAAGCTTAGATGCATAAGTAAAAGTATTTGAAACATACTGATTAAATGTGTTTTCGAAATGTTATTACCTATTAAACAATATGTTTTACATATTTCTAAAAATCAATGTCAGCATTTGCCTCTGTCTAATTTTAAGAGCAGCCCAATGGGCCAGCATGGTTATGCCCTGTTGTTGCCGTATATTTTAACTACATTTTAATTAGCACAAACCATGCTTATTTTTTTGGTAATATTCACATGGAAAGGCGTATTTAGATGCTTGGGTTTCCACACATAGTGCACATAACACTCGTGACATCGCAAAATAAAATATTGTTTATTTCTTACAACTTATTATAATTACCTATTTTGGTTTCAATCCATATACAACGATAATTTGAGAGCCAATCCATATACGAGTAGCAATAATTATAATTTGGAATACATCAATTGTTTTTTTTTAAATACAAGCCTTAACGATTTAGGCGCAATAATATTTGTCTATTGCTCAGTAAAAAATAATTTTAAATACCTCAAATATAGATATTGAGTACGCTTTGCAATTTCAAAACAATACTTATTATGTTTATATAATTTTTAAATTGAATAACATTAATTTTTAATAATTAGGAATAGGCAAAGTTATCGCCGGACGATTATTGGGACTGGACGCGTACGTATATGCAATTGGAAGAGATGTGGAGACATTACCGAGTTCTGATAATAAAAAATTGATCAAAGTGACCGTGGACGTAAGTGAATGGGATACTGTGTATTGTCAAGTCTTGGAAATGGGACCTGTCCATGGATTAGTAAACAATGCAGGAGTAGCACACATTGAATCTTTTCTTAGTACGACACAACACGGATGGGACGAGTATGTTAATATTTGTTTCTTTTATATTTTTGATTTATAGAAATTATTCACTTTAATTTAAAAATAAATCTGTAGATACACCATACAGTTATAGACACATTTACTAGCTAGTAAAATATTGAGGTATTATACTAATAATTTACAGTAATAGTTTATTCATTGTTTCATAATATTAATATTGTATAATATAACTCTTATAAACATAAGTTTTGAAATTTTCTGATGCATTTACTAGTTTTTAGAAAAAATTATTAATTTATTATTGAAAAATATTATTAAAAATGTTAACAAATTATATAGTAATATTATATTTTATAAACAGCTGAGTTAATCGCCAGTGAGCGTTCACCGTATTAATTATATAACGCTCGGACCAATACATTTTTATTTTTGTTCGTATTATTTTCTAATATAAATTGCATGTACCTATATACACAGACATACAACCGTGTTTGTTGTATTCCTTATACATCGCTATGTGTGTATTACAACTTCTAACCATCAGATTATTAAATTAGATATTAATAGTTTCAAATAATTTATTTGTACACTACCAAGCAATTATTTTTATTATATCCCTCTCGAGTCTCGTTGTAATAGTTGTCGAGTTCGATTACCGAATCACAATAGACTGAAAAACAAACGTGCCTAATATTTTATTTTCAATCAATATAAGTGGAAAGCGCATAAAAATACAAATATTGAAATAAATTAGTTGTTTGGGTTTTTTTTTTTTTAATGTGGAAGGATTTAATGATGATATTTTACAAGAAAAATTAAAGCAATTGGTAAATATTTATAATTGAAGATTTAGCTAATTTATTATCCTTGAGAATGAGATTTTACAATTTAAAACAATAATGAAACATTTTTCAGAAGATGAATTTATTGTAGAAATAGCTTTTTAAAACTTTTTATATCTATACCATGTTCAAATGCAAGCGAAGAGAGATCTTTCTCAGTTGTAAGAGTCAAGAACTACCAGAAAACATAATTATTATTATTAATTATCTAATGAAAATATGTCATGGTTGGGTCTAGTGTCTATTCAGAATATTGTCCTAAAAACTATAGATTGGAATTATATTACCATTAAAGAGTTTGCAACACAGAAATCTAGAAAATAATTATAAATTTCTTATATTGAATAAATTTGTATTAAAATATTTACACTTAGTACTTACTAAGAAAGGTTAGGCATCAATGTTATGATATGTTTATAAATATATATTAATTAAACAGTCTTAAATACGTTATTACTGCTCCTAAACGGCAAATATGTTAATCCGGCACTGCCACTCGAATAAATGATATTAGTCAATTACCTGCTTGTTTACTAGTGTAGTAAATTATACTTAGTCCAGGGACGGCGAGAGGGGTGGGCAATAGGGGCAGTTGCCCGGGGCCCTGCGCCTTAAATTATAATTAAGGCTCCGCAGTTCTGATTTAACTGAACTTAAAATATTTGATTAATATAAATTATAAGACCCAACATTTATTTTTCCCAGGGCCTCGCAAACTCTAGCACCATCACTGACTTAGTCTAGTTACTTTTTTTTAATTTAAAGGTAAATTTATAATAACACTTCTTTGAAAAAAATCAAAGATTTAGGTACACACTTCATAATTTTCTAATTTTTATTTTGGGTTCATACTAAATAATTGTAGAAAGATATAATAATACATTTTTTGAACCTTCATGAGGGTGTCAAAAAATTATTACATTGAAAAATGTAGAATTAATTTTATTGAATATTAGAACAAAAATATATAGTTAAAAATTAAAGAAGTGTTACTATAAATAATAATAATAATAATGTATACAATATTTAAACTATTACAAACATAATTTCCAGTGTTGGATTTAGTGGGGGTTCATGGAGTGCAATGCACAGATATGTCAAGATCTAAGTGACCTCTAAAACCAAAATCTAAAATTAAAAATTGTATTTTTCTATATTTTTTTGTTTTTTTCCTGTTCTGAATATTTTTTGATTTTATGTTGTTGCTTTTAAATTAAATTAATTATAGACATAGAAAAATATATATTGAACAAATTTTTTTTAAGGGGTTCCAAGTGTTATTTCCACCCTAGCCTGAGGCTAAGATCCAAGTTAGGATCCAACACTGTTCATTTCTGATTAAAATTATTGAGTATTAAACTTTTAATTATCATTCAGATAATTACATAAAAATTATATACCAATTTTTTTTTTTTGTTTTTAGTACTTTAAACATAAATTCTAGAGGAATGGTGAGGGTAAGTCAAGCAGTGGCCCAAAATATGATTGATGCAAAAATTAAAGGATCCATAGTTAATGTTTCATCTACTATATCTGAGGTTATTATTCATATATTAAGAATATATCTATATTTTAAATTATCTAATATTATAGGTATATATTACATTTAGAATGTTTAATCTCAAAATGAAGAAATATGTTCTCCATCTCATTAATGAATGAGAGAACAGATTAGAACTTTTCATAATATTTCAAATAATATTTAGTTCAATAAATATTTAATTACAATTAGAAATAGTATAAAATTTAAACACAATTTTAGAGAGGGATACCAGACCACGTAACATATTGTGCATCTAAAGGAGCTGTAAATCAAATTACAAGAACAATGGCAATTGAATTGGGACCACTTGGCATAAGAACAAACAATGTAAATCCAACTGTTGTAATGACTCAAATGGGAAAAAAGGCATGGAGTGATCCTGCAAAATCTGGACCCATTTTGAAAAAAATACCTTTGGGAAGATTCGCAGGTTTGTGATAAAATATACTTTATAAATAAATAAATAAATAACACAATATATACTTTGAGATTAATACATTTACATAAAAAAACTAATATTTATGTTTTTTCTTGTACAGAACCTAATGAAATTGCAGATGCAGTTATATTTCTATTGAGTGACTACTCACAAATGGTTAATGGTCTGAATTTGTATGTAGATGGAGGTTATATGACTGGTTGAGTTTATTATATTAATAAACTTAACCTAAAAAATAATGAAAAATTTACTTATAGTTACACATCAAACTATTTTATTGTTATTAATTGTTGAAATTATAATCATCTAATAAACACTGTATAATTTATCCATATATTGTTAATGTGCTATTTTCATATTAAAGTTTATACATTAATGGTTGAATGAAGTGAAGGTTATAATTTAATTCAGTGATTTTCAAGTGACCTAAAGCATTTAAATTTGCTAAATATTTCACTTTGAATTAATAAAATCAATTAATCGAAAACAAATATACATTTATTATTAATATACACATAAAAGACTTACCTAAAAAAAGATATTTTCCTTACCAAAGTGAAGGATATTGTCATTTTTGAGGGATGATAGGGTATACAGCCAGTGCTCGAATTGGGGGGGACACGGGCGGACAGAGTCCACTTTCATTTTTCCATAGATTTCAGGGTCCCCCTTCATTTAATTAGACGAGGAAAGCTAAAAACGAGTCTCCCCCTGGGGATATTTATGATACTTTTGAATGATGTATTTGAATTTTGTTTTCGTTTATTTCTATTTTCTATAGCAAACTGCAAATTAATGGTTATTTTTTCCTAGAAAACGGTTATCGTTGATGACAATCACAGACTAAGATAATAATCATGGCTAAATAACTATATAATTTTGAAATGATTTTGGATGTGTAGTCCTATAGGTGTTTCTACTTGCTACTTTTGACAACCTTTTGAGAACTTTTTGTTTAATTTTCCAACCATTAACAAGATTAACACAACAAAATGGATTGAATAGTAGGTTAAGAAAAGCAAACGAACAGGAGAAGAAGAAAATTGTCCGAAGAGGATAAAAATTAATAAAGAAAATGCTTACAAGTCATTATAGAATTTAATTGAAGAATAATATTTATTTCTGTAATTAATATTATTATTTCGTTATAAAATAATGTTATAGTAATAAGCAAATAAATATTATATAATAATACTACATTTATAGTACCTTATTATATGTGCAGAGGATGTGGGGGACGAAGTCCACAATGGGTTACTTTACAATTTATCAGCTATGGAACGGCATTTTTTTTAACTAAAAACAGCATCAATCATCAATTCTTTTCCAATTCGAGCACTGTATACAGCACCACTATAATAACTTATAAAATGTATTTATATATATATTTGTATAATATAAAAATAGATTCTCAAATCTTCCCACCATTTTTTTGTTACTATTATTTTCACTTTATTATCATACAGTTTAATAATCTAATTTGTAACAGAAGTGATTGTCACTGAGATTGTGAAAGAAATAATACTGAGAGGATACTGGCATATATACATATCATTTTTTTTCTATCAAAATGACCATCAGTGGTCTTGTATATATCTTTTTCACTTGGGAGGGTAAAGTGGAATATAAAATTTGTACCCTCCTCTCTAAGTAGATAATTATTACGTGTATGGACTTCAATTTCAATGGAGTTAGTTCGATGTAAAGAGCACTGTAGAGCAACCAAAACGATGGCAAGGGACAGATATATATATATATATAAATATATGTATAAACATGGAAATGTCAGTAAAAACTAATAGTGTAGAGATAAAATATTTAACAACCTGTTTAAATTGTAATGGTGCATTTTTTTTTTTTTTTTTTTTTTTTTTAATTAGATAATAGTTAACGATTTAATATTATTAAATAAATCAATTTAATTTCTATTTTACCATTTTTATTAATCACAAAGATCATTATTTTATTCAATTATTGTATAAAAAGATACAGTTTTCATAGAAAAAAAAGGAATGATGTACAAATAAAATATTGTAATATATAATTCAAAATATGTTGGTAATGGCTTAAGCCCTTGTTTTAGAAACTCCACCTTTAGTCTCAAATAATTTACGAAGAAAATAAATTTGTAAAGTAGTTGTGCCAATTATTAACAATATTTGCATTATTGACCATCTGTTCACGTACGTTTTATTATCAACCAATAAATTATAATCACGAGTTTCTTGACTTCGAACATGATACTGATGTTGCAACATGTGATTGATGTTACTTTCAACTGATTTCACAGTGGACTGAAAAAAATGTAAACATTCAATATTTAAATAACATATAATGGATACATAACAATGCATATTATATTACCATGATCAGCACATCAACAGTACAAATAAAACTGTTGACATTTTTATGAAAAATTAATTTTAACATTGATAGGTAACAAATACATTTACTATTATATTACTATTATTATTCTTAATATTATATACAATAATTTATGATGAAATGATTCATTTTTAATTTGAAACAGGTCATAAATTAAAAACATAATAACATTCCAAGCTAAGAATTTATTAATTTACTTCTATATATCATATATTTCATATATTTCAATATCAGTTGATATTATTATAATAGATTTTTAATTAATATTCTACCAACACCTGTTTAAAGAAATGTAAAATTTAGTTCAAGTGTTAATTATTTAACTATAAATCATAAACATTTGTAAATCATTTGAATAAATTTGATTAATATAACAATGTACAATTTATATGCTAAATAATGGTTCTAGGTAATTCTTCAATGATATTAAAATATTAAAATAAACTTGGATTAAATAACACTTATTCAAATCAATGAAATAGTATAGTTACATAATATATGGTCATAGTAAAAACAGCATTATCTCAACTTACCATTTATTTAGGAACAGTGATTTAAATTAATCTAAAAAAGTACAAATGAGATGATAACACTATTTCAATAGTTTGATTTTTTGCTTGATTAGTTAATTCATAATTATAGTTAGTTATAGTTATATTTATAGTTATATTCATAGTTTTTGCAAATATTATTGTTTTTAACTAAGCCATCAGTTTGTACATATATTTTATTCATCAATGATGCTGATCGTTTATTGATAATTAATTTTAAGTAAAACAAATAAATAATATATATAACAATGAAAATATTAAAATTGAACTCACTGTGAAATTTTCTACACTGACATTCATGTCTTCTATTTCTTTATGATATTCATCCCACTTATCATACCTGAAAAAAATTAGAAATCAAAATAACAATAAAAACTATGGAATACATTCAAGAAAAAAAAAATTGTTATAAAATGTTATATTACGCAAAAGGAATAGATGATTTGCACAAATATTTTGAATGATGATTGACATTCCAAGAAGGGTACATAATTGCGTTTTTTTAACTAACTTTTGGAAAACTCTATTACTAACCTAATTACGGTGATATACAAATTAACTAATTTGGCTGCAAATTTTGAAAATTGATTGTCTATACAGACACTATAGTAACCTCCAGTAGATTCTTGATCTTGGTAATCTGAGCTTGCTTTCCATTGGTATGGGTGCACAACTTGGCCGTTTGGATGCCTAACTGCAAAACCAGCCATACCGTCTCCGCCTCTCAATACCTACACATGAAAAATCAATCAATCAACAGTAATAGCGGTAACTATAAACATATTCACCATACTTGAGCACTGGCATAAAATGTAGCCCCAGGATTAACAAATTGAAAGTAACAGTCTTCTTTACCCGGGTCAATGATCACTTTATAGTCCATTGCTACCGCTGGCAAGGTTTCATACCACGGTGCAGTGGGCTGGGCATTTGGAAGCTGTTGTTCTTGAGAAGGTATCGGCTGTGCTTGACCGTTAGCAGAACGATTTTCATCAAAAAGAACGAACAGCATTACGAAACACAATACAATCGAACACCAACTAATGTCGGTCTTCCTCTGGTGCCTGGTAATCATGATGATGCTGAATATTCAGCGGGAAAAAGAAAAAATAAAGGAAAAAATAAAATAACGAGCTGTGTCGAGCGTCTTATCTAACACATTTTGAACATGTTATAAGTATATTTAATTTTGTATTCCTAACGAGAGACTTTCTCCTTGCCGGAACAGGCAGTAGGCAACTAAGCACCCACACAGAACGTTACAGTCCACAGCAAACACGATTTAATAATACAACTCTCGGGCACTCACGCAATCGGCGAATTTAATTATTAGCGTGTCACACATGAAGTTCGGAGCGTATTCAAGTATTATCACAAAAATGTTGATAACGAAACAGCTGAGGTGGCAGACACTGGCTATCACGTGTATCCACGACATAATTTCTTTTATACAGACATATCCACTAAGATATATCTTATACAAATTACGTCTATAGTCCACAGCGACGGTCGACTCATCCGTAATCCTTTTATCTATGCGCGTGATCAAGTGTTTTTAATGCTCCGTGCAAATATCGGCGTTCAGCATCCTTCTTAATCATCAGTATAGTTCAAATCTGTGCACGTAAAATGTTCGGAGTGAAAACTTCCAAACATCATTTCAATTCATTCCAACATCAACCGAAACGAACGGGCCGAACGTCATCCTCGTAGTGATGCACTGGGTAGAATTCGATTTAAAACGTTTTCGTTACATCAACAACGATCATCTTGCTTCAACAAACTTCCGTGAAAACGATCAAAATATATTTTTTCATCTTTTGGCTTGTGTTCCCTTCGAAATGTACGCAAAGTTAGAACTCATCATCACTAGAATCGGTATTGCCCGTACGAAAATGTCTCATATATGACTATAGTTTCAAAATTGCACCAATAAGAACTTCCTATCGATGGGAAATCGGTATCGATATAAATATTTTCATCAAACTCCTCCGTCCGTGAGGAAGGGAAAAATCCCTTAGAAAAGACTATGGTCAGACTAGACCCGGCATCGGTCGAATATTTTTCGGAATGCATTTACCAAATTGTTCGATCATTATTGGAGACTGAATTCAGCCGACGAAAATGGTCAGACTACATCCAGTACATCAATAGACATATTTTTTGTGTAACAGTGGCGGATTGAGACAATTCATATTATGAGTACAAATATTAATTCAGACCACCCACCTATATTTTAAACACTACCACTACCACCAAGGTTAACTTAAGGGAAGAACATTATCTGTATTATATTGGTCGGTTTTTTCCGATATTTTAATTTTTTAACGAGTAATGATGTTTTTTAAAATGTTATATTTTACATTATTACATTATATTAGTTTTAAGTGTTTATATTACAATTACGAACCCTATTTGGGTTCAGCGCCTTACGCTTGGTATCGGTAAAAACATGTACACATTATGCAGTGGTTTTGACTTCGCCCCTCGCGTTGAAACGTACTATGGACGGGAAATACGTCAACCGGGCATAAGTATAATACATTATCATCATAGTCCATTGACATGGTAGTAGTTTTAAGTATTAACGATAAGTTTCCCAAAAATTTACAAAAATACAACCACCAAATATTTTTGGGAGTGCAGTGCACCTCTTGTAATTACGTTCAAGCCGCCTGTTATGTATTTCATTATAATTTCAACATATTCATATATTTTAGAACCAGACGTCAATAAATTGCAGTACGTTAAAACTAATTTGTATAATGTGAATCAGAAATATTTTATCGTCAATGTTTAGAATGCATAGAACTAAAGCCGATACCCATAACCATGTTTTTATAACATTAAAAAATATAGCCGGTACTTTAGACACAGATAAAAATTCCAAGATTTTCGAACAAATTAATATCGGTCAAATCATAATAACGTTATAAAAAGCTCGAAGAATACTAGTTAGTTTTTTATTGCCATAATTGAAATCTATAATTCTTTAGAAACTCGTACTCACGAACCAATGAAATTACCACTTGAAATAGGTAAACCAAATACATCGGAAGTGATACAAAAGTAAATTCAGCTTCATACATACACTACAAAAAGTATACGATTTCTACAAAACCAAAACTCGTATTGAAGGTAAAACATAACAAGATTATTATTACTAGTACTTATAATAAGTTTATAAATAATTATAAATGCTAATATAATTACTAATTATACTAAATTGGATGTTCCATATAGTGCTTACCAATCTTAAGGATTGTTAATTTTTTCCATTAATTACAAAATGTATTATCATTTAAATGATCATACGACCTAAATGAATTGTCAAGAGATTATTTAGTACACTTTACCTTATAAAAACATGGTTAAGATTCACAAAGCAGACAATACAGATACTGTATGCTTAGTAAAATAAACAAAAAATTGAAATTCAAATTTAGTTGAAAATGTCAACATATTTTCAAAAAATAAACAATTTACAATGCTACAACTAAATAATCAATTTCCAAAAGTTAAAACACCATGTTAAACTGCCAGTGGAACACCAAAAACAATTGTTCAACCCTCCAAGGCCATAAAGACAATTATGAAAAATTCTGTTTTATCATCAATTTTTGATTCATAATGATAAAATTTTAAACTTGCTATAAATACATTAAAATGAGCATTATCAACTAAATTAATAAAATAATTTAAAAATTATCAACACTATAACCAAATTAAAATGTATGTATATTTAAAAAAAATATACACAAGATACGAAAACGATTAATTGCTTAATCTTCTTCTTCTTCTTCTTTGCCGTCTTCTTTGGCAGTCTTGGCTTTCCTCAAGTTCTTCCTCTTTACACGTCCAGGACGACCACCACCAAACGGTGATTTCAAAGAGAAGTCTATGTGTTTCTGAGAGTCCAGGCGAACAATGAATGATGGTACATTCACTACTTGTTTACGTACACTGTAAATAAAAATTTCACATTGATAAAATAAAATAATATTCATAGTTGACGGACACATATAATCAATACATTTTTTATTTCAAGTACAACAGAAACAAATTGATATTTTACAGTAACTCACCAAATTTTTTCAAATCTTAGTAATATTGATTTATCAAGGAAGCTCAGTCAACATAAACTCAAGTTAGGTAAAACGAGCTGTTACTTGTACAGACGTTAAAATGACATAATAATGTACATTTTAAGTGGCCTGTTAAAAATTAAATTGTACTCTGTGCCAACATCTAAATGCAGTTGTTTTCATCTATCCAAGAAAACAATTGTATGAGTACATTAATTAATTGTGACCCATGTAGTTTTCAGAAATTTTTTAACTTCCTAGCACATTTATTTAATCAAGTGTGAATTCTAATTGATAAACTTAGGTTGTCACTTTGTCATGAAAAAGACAGAAAATAATAATTCTGACCTTTGATTAACCAAAGTCTATTGTTTTAGCCAATTTGCGATTAGGATTACTTCGAATAATAATGAATATCCTTGCCCAAGAACAAAAGGCATGGATTAAAAAATACACAATTATAGGGTTAACAATTACTTGTATAAATATTTTAAACAATTATATATATGTGACTTTGTCATGAAAAAGACAGATGATAAACATTCAGACCTTTGATTAACCAAAGTCTATATTCATATAGCCTTATCATGATTAGGATTAGCTCAAACAAAAATTTAAAAACATCCTTGCCCAAGAATAATAGGCACAGTAAACTTAATTTCAGTACTAAAATAAGATTTTAACATATTTGTAGCATTGCCATGAAAAAGGTGAGAAAATAGTTGTCTGACCTTGGATTAACTCAATGCAAATTAATTTAGCCCAATTGTGATTAGGATTGACTTGGTATAATTTTCCAGTATCCTTGCCCAAAACAATTGGCATAATATTAAAACTAATAAATATCTAAATGCTGTTAATGTACATACCGAATATGTCTTTGACGAATCAAAACTCGAGCATGATGGATCGATTTAGCTAATCCCAATTTGAAAACCTAAAACACAAATTGTAAGTTAATTTAAAAATGAACATATATATTTTCCCATCCTTTGGATAAGCTTAACTCTCAGATATTTAACTATCAACAAATATATTTCAGAAGAGGTGTCAGAAAAAAATTAAAAATTCATCATATGAGTTTATCAGCTTCCAAATTAATAAATCATTTATTGAAATTTACCTGAGTTTGCAATCGGCGCTCTAAGAAATCTTCAATTTTTAAACCCAAAACATAATCAAGCTTCATTCGACTTTCATCCAACACTCCAATACGAACCAATCTACGCAACAAGGCATTACCTAAAAGTAAAAATTCATTTAATGCAAAATTTTCAAAAATATTGTACATATTTATGCAATCTTAAAAAAATACAAATAACTCAGAAAATTTAAAATAGCAACACTATCGGAAATTTCAGACGAGAGGTGTCAGATATAATTGATTTCATCATTGTATTGTTTTGCAATAAAGGTACAATATGATAAATTCTATTGAATTTTAATTTCTCAATTGAATCAAACCTTCAAAAAGCCTTTTCTGATCTTTTTCTTCAAGAGTCAACAGCTCACGAGCTGCTTTACGGATCTTAGCCAAAGTGTATTTAACACGCCAAACTTCACGTTTGTTCCTAAGACCATATTCGCCGATGATCTTCAACTCTTGGTCCAAACGAGCCTTTTCATACGGACGACGGGGCGTCACATACGTTTTACTGTATACAGACGGAATACGTCCGTTGACCATTTCGAATGATTACCTGGAACTGATTATACAAAATAAATATTGGAATAAGCACAAGGCTCGAGTGGAAAAACAAATGATCAATAGGCTAGAAAGCACATTAAATCGAAGGCGTATAGGGGAGAGGAAATATGCCAACCACATGGTCACGAAATTTCCAATTTCAATAGTAGAAAATCGCAAAAACACCAGTAGACTGCAAGTGCTTCGAGCGGTGCACGCTTTCAGATTTAAGGTTAAGAATCATTGATTAAAAAATTGACGGTCAAAAGAGTACGAAGGATTTGGTACCACGTAGATGGAAGAATTTATGAATCAAACACAGATATCCGTCACAGTGGAAGCGACGGCAGACTTTGAAACGAAATTCAAAATGAAAATTAACAGTCGGTTAGGGTGTTTGTAAGAAACTCATGATCGAGTCTGTATTTTCATCCATTTCCATCGGGCGTGACGTGACGTCCAGATGTTCGGAAATAAGAGTAAAACGACAAAGATGTAACGACGGACAAGTAGAAACGTAGCAACACAGAATAAAAATTGTAAAAAATAAAATAATACTCACACGAGAAGACGAAGAAAATGTTAGAGAGTCGTACGCATCCAACAGAAGGATCAACACGATAGAAAGTGCCTGTATGACCGACTGTGATCGGGCAAATTTAGCATTTGGATTTTGGGGTGACGTCGTTGGTGGGAGGTGGACAGACGCTCCAGCCAACAGTGCGGCCAACATTTGGAACGAGCTCGAGCACGATATCTCTCCGCCGACGTTATCAGCCCAAGAACGAATTGACGATTCGCATTTCGGCGGCGGCGAATACGATTACGATTACGACGACGATTGTAGGTTGCCCTTACAGCCGTGAGTGACGTGATACGATCTTTGCGATTCAGGAAACGAATCCGAGGATATAACACTCTACGTCCACGTCGCGTTTGCGTTCGAATTTGCCGTTTCCCGTGGAACCGTTCTCACACATCTAACCTGCTTATTAGGCATCAGTGATCTTAATCGCTCGCTAGGAACCAGACTCCTGTCGCAATGACTGACAAATTACCACCCTTAATAGCTGCTGACGATCCAGTGGACGACGAAGACGACGACATCTTCAGTTCCACTATTGATGTGAGTGTATATTATAATAATATGTATTTATAAAGGCCACAATAGCTGATTGATATAGAAAAAGGGGCGTTGTTCGCCCATAGCCAGTAGCTAAGGGGATTTTGAAAACTTATGCCGTTTATGATTGTTACAGGACCTCAGTAGCTTGCGAAACGAAGAGCTGTATGCTTCAGCTGCAATTGTGCCACCGCCATTAACCAATATTAGTTTAAATGATGAACCGTCCACTGTCGAATCTCATGTACCATTATATGACACGAAAGAGGTAACCTTTTTTTTTTTTTTTAATGTATAAACTCCAATTTCATTCAATAAAAATGTTAAACTAATAGATATGTGTAGGGGACAGCCCCACAATTAATTAGAAATCCCCCTAACATGTGACAGATTTAAATCAGTACATATTTTATGGTAAGTAGAATTTGTTGTAAAAACTGGTTACTAACAATCAACAATGATAAAGTACTTTACATTTATTATTTCATTACTGTACGTATAAAATTAACTTATTATTTTTGCTTAGAGTAATTGAATAATTAATTTTAACTCCTCTACTATTTTATTTTTATTGAAAAAGTATTATTAAATTCCAATCACGAACAAGCAAAATAATTATATTTTATTAATATAAACAAATTATTGAATACAATTTTAATTTTAATTCCATACACATTTTATTGTTATCCATTTGTATCATTATCAATGTGAACTATTTATGTATCATATTTGTACCTATCTAATAAGTTTTGATAGTGCTTTTATCTCAGATTATATGAATATTAAATGTGTAGCTTTATTGCATTATACATTTAAAAGCCTTATGACATTGTTTTACATGTATACATCAGTGATAACAAGAATTTATTAGATTATACAGTGTAATACTGTATAATATATTTTATAATTATAAAATGCTATTGAGTACTTAATAAAAATACTAACCTACTAGTTTCTTTACATGCATTAAACATCTTTTTCTAAATAAATATACTTCCGATGTCTAAATTTTTAGACTCGCATTATAGACAAATTTATCATTACAAATTATAATACTGTTAATAGTGTTGTAATTAATTCAGTTATATAACAATAGTTAATTAATTCTTGATTTACTTCAAATAAAATTTATCTTAGTTAATAATGAAAAATCAAGCCATTTTTACTATCAAAACTATTTTAAGTTCATAATCCTTTAAAATGTATTCTGACTTTAGCCCCTTTAAAATTAATTACACCAATATCTAGTTACACATAGTATTTCCTTGTTTTTAATTAAGCTTTTGAATAATTGAAACTTTTATCAGTAGATAATTTTTTTTTTTTTTTTAATCAGTAAAATAGTAACATAAACATTTATTCCTTGTAAACATCTGCATTTTATTTCTGTTGAAGGAACAACCAGAACCAAGTAATGAAGTTGTTTCAAATGGATTTGAAGCAGAAATAAATTTAAAAGAAAATGATACTATTACAACAACTAAAGAAATTGATCAGGTAGAAGAAATACCAAATGTGTCTATTAATGATAAGAACATTGAAAATAGTTATATAAAAATATCGATATCTGAGACTACCAAGGTTGGTGAAGGCATGAGCTCCTATGTCGCCTATAGAATTGTCACCCGTACAAACCTACCCATGTTTAAATCAAATAATTTAGCTGTGCTTAGGAGATTTAGTGATTTTTTAGGATTACATAATAAGCTAACAGAAAAATATTTAAGAAATGGACGTCTTATACCACCTGCTCCTCAAAAAAATATGTTAGGTAAACATTGAGATTACATTTTAAATGTTTAATATAAAATTAATAAAGTTTTTTTAAATGTTATAAAGGTTCTACAAGAATTAAAATATCTGGAAATCAATCTGATCAAACAACATCAGCGGAATTTATAGAAAAAAGACGTTTGGCTTTAGAAAGATTCTTAAAAAGGATTGCTCTTCATCCAATTTTGCGTAATGATAAAAACTTTTGTGAATTTTTAGAACAAGGTATTTTTATTAATTTGTCTTCATTATCAATTGTTATTACACTTAAATAAACTCATTGCAGACTGTGAACTTCCAAAAGCTACCAGTACATCTGCATTGAGTGGTGCAGGCGTCATGAGACTTTTTAATAAAGTTGGAGAAACTGTAAATAAGATCACTTATAAAATGGATGAAAATGAACCGGTAATTAAATTATTATTATTTGTTAACTATCCCTTTTTTTAAAAAAAAAATATGAGTTACAATATAACTAAGATTGGTTTTTTAGTGGTTTGAAGAAAAAGAAGTACAAATAGAAAATTTAGATTTGCAACTTCGCAATTTACATGGAGCTGTTGAATCATTAGTGATAAATCGCAAAGAATTAGCACATTCAAGTGGATCTTTTGCCAAGTCTGCTGCAGTATTAAGTAATTGTGAAGAACACACTGGATTGTCACGTGCTCTATCACAACTTGCTGATGTATTTGAAAAGGTTAAATATTTATGCACCATAGATACTGTTAAAAAATTTACGAGTGAAATATTAAAAATAAAGATGTAGTCTATAGAAATTGATTGATATATTAATTGCTATTTTAATGATTTTATTATGTTTTTTAGGTTGAATCAGTTCGTACAGAACAAGCAAATACAGATTTTTCAATATTTTGTGAACTCTTAAAAGATTATATTGGTCTTATTGGAGCTGTAAAAGTATGTAACTGATTCAATTTTTTTATATTTATATTTTTTAATGTATTTTAATTTTTTTAGAATGTATTTCATGAAAGGGTTAAGGTCTATCAAAACATGCAACATGCACAAATGATTTTAACTAAAAAACGGGATCAAAAAACTAAACTTGAACTTACTGGTCGTTTAGATAAAGTTGGCACAGTTACAAATGAAGTAACTGAGGTAAAGTATATAAGTCAGTGTTAATTGTACTTGATACTAACTTAGTAAAATTGTATTACATTTTTTATAGTGGGAGGCTAAACTGTCTAGGTGCCAAGATGAATTTGATCAAATTTCCAAAACAATTAAAGTAGAATTCGAACAGTTTGAAATAAACCGAATCAAAGAATTTAAAACAGTTATATCATCATATCTTGAAGAAATGATAAATCATCAAACTCAGGTAATAACAAATTTTTATTTAATATTCAAATGACTAAGCTTAACTTTTTTAATAATCAACTACAAAACATTATAGTTTTCTAAAAAATTAAAAAAATGTAATAATGTTAATGAACTTTATTATTTTATTTGAATATTTGATAAAAATACTGGTAAAACCATTATTTAACACATTTTTCAGCCTTTATTGTATGTAAATTGATAATTTACCTAATATAAAAAAATCATTATACATTTTTATTTAAATACCCTAAAAATAATAAATTTAATTTTGCTAAATGTATTAAGTAATATTTAAAAAAAAAATGATCATATTAATTAATTTGAATTCTGATTTCTTGAGTATATTCATGAAAATATTTATGCTTAGATAATAAAACATTGGCAAGCATTTATCCCTGAAGCAAAAGCCATAGCCTGACCCAATGCAAATGAAGAATGTGATATGGATTCCAACCACCGTAAAGAACCCGTTCACATTTTACAATTTGCTGGAAATATTTTAGAAGCATATACAGAGTCATAAATATACTGTTCTTTACTGAACTTCATTATTTTCTAAAATGTTTATCATAAAATTACATTATTTATCCCACTATATTTATGTATTTTTTCCAATAATATTAAATTACTATTATTATTTATTTATCTTTATTTTTATAATATATATTTATATTTAAATACTAATGTATGTTTATGTATTTGCTATTATTATTATATACTTTAAAACCACTATGCTTTATTGTATTGTTGTTATTGATATATTTTAATGAACTTGTGTGTACCTACTATGAATATGGAAACATAATTTGATATTAGTCTTAATTATTTATTGTTAATATTATAATTCATAAATTTATCTATTAAATCAGTCATCCAAAAATATTGAAACTGCTAGTTTTTTTTCCAAATCATCCTATTAAATTTAAATAGTTTTGAACGTAATAAATAATATATTATTATTTTCTTAAGTGCTAAAAAATTTTAGATCATCACCATTTTTTACATGTTCACTTTTATTAATAAATTAGGATTTAGAATATATCCCTTACATTTTACTTTATTTTGAATTTATTTCTGTTTATCAGAAGAATCAATTTATCCTACATTTTTGTCAAATAATGTTTATCGCAACACAATTACATATGTTTTCTCTTTATTCAACTATCAAATTTTACTCTGATTAATATTATATTTTATCATTGAATTACTATCAAACATCTTATGTCTGGCAATTTATAAAGTATTCATTTAAAAAAATACTGAACTACTTAAAATGTTTGTTCAAACTATAATTTACAATAATACTCCTTAATAAATGTCTAAAGAAAAGAAAATTGTCAATATATATTAGTATTGTTTTTGTTTGTGTCAGCCTTGTGAACCAACGGCCAAATAGATATTTAAAAAACTAGAGTTTGTTGTGCAGGTCCATAGGTCAAAGCTTAAGTTTATTGGGTAACCAGAATAGAGTAGCTCTTGGATGTGATGGGTAGAGGGATTCCCGTGGTTGCTGTGTAGTTGTTCAGGTTCAGGGTGGAGATATGGACGGGTGTGAGGGCAGGTAGATTTAAGCAAAGAATAGGTGGGGTGGGTGAATTAATTTTCGTAATCACGAAGTATGTTATAATTACGGAATAAATATTAAAGATGGTCCTGCAAGGACTGTTGCTATTTTTATTGAATTATTCATTCATCAAATTGTTATGAACCCTCCATGCGTCGTGAATATTGCTAACTCATCGATAGCATAGCTCAGCTACAATCGTGTACGGTTTCCAAAGCGTGACATGTTAATAACTGCTTACACGAAAATCATATGGACTGGTTTGCAACACATGACAATTGAACTTTGGGTCATTGCGACCGACGAAACTACTGATCCGGCAGAAGTACTGCGCAACAAGTCGCCGCGACATTTCACAACGATCGTTATAAATGTTCAACTTGGATTTGTTTCTACATCCAAAGACGAAATTCTTATTCAAGAGGTACAAAAGAATTCAGTTCTTTATAATATTGGACGTTCAAATTATAAAAATATAATAAAATCCTTCGCTTTCCTGGTATTTAAATATTTTTTGTGTAAGTTTTATAAGGTACAATACCAAATCGACGTGTTAAGCTGCCACCCCTTTTAGAAGCAAAATATTTTATAAAAAAAAAAAAAAGAAATTAATTGCTCGAAAAGTGTTTAACTGAAAATTAAATATAAAATATACTTATACAGTAGATATATTTTAAACAATAAATGTATAATTGAAATTAATAATAATAAATTATATTGATCAGTTGTACTTGGTGCTTAAGATTCAATTTTTTTTACGTTGAGTTCAACGAGGTCGGAACAAATCTAAGACTATACTAAAAACATAATAAAACACAAAAACAGCAAAAAAAGAAAAAAATCGTAAGAATAAAATAAACACAATAAGTTTGAAAACAATTATAGATAATCAAACGCATGTCGACCTCACTGATAAGTATTTATATTTTATTACCTCCCGTTTATTTTATAGATAAATTAATAAAACTTCCATATTGTTTGAAAACAATAACAGAGAAGTCATGGCACAAAGCTCAACACTATATCTGTACTTAAGTCTTTATATTTTTCCAGTTAGTTAATATAATATATATTATGCTTAACATCACCATACCGCCAAAGACTTGATCACCGAAAACAAATTCATCATCCCTCAGAACCTCTTCACCATCCACTGTAGGGTGATATCGCTAACGTTAAAAAAAAATAGGTATAGACGACTCCCAAAAATGAAACTTTCTTACAAACATTTTTTTTTAAAACTGTAATGTTTCTTAGGATAATTAAGAATGACCTAAAGCAAACAATAATATCGAACCGTAATACTATAAAAGTATAAAAACAAATGAATAAATGTTTCAAAACAAATTTAAATATTTCATATAATATTGTAAAGTATTTGATCTACCTTTACGGTTTATGGCTTTGTAGCCTTTATCCGTAAAAGCGTGAACAGGCTTAAAAAGAACCATTTATACTTATTCCATTTCATCCCATTTTTATACGATCCGCATCTGTCAATGATAATGTATTGTGTAATATAACACGTTTTTTGGTAACACCATCGATTACAATAATATATTATTTGTAATCAATGGTTACGTGTGTGCGTTTTTCAGAGATATGCTTACAATAATATCAAGTGTACTATTATACAAACCAATCTTGCTCCAGTTTCAATATTATGCATATTTTTTTTATTTTTTTGCTCATTAGTATAATGAATTTTCGCGATGAACAAAAATCATTTGATCATTATTATGATCAACTGAAGTAGCAATGGTCAATCAATATGTGTTTATTGTTATGGCATAATTCATAATATCGATTCGCGGGATAGTATACGTATGTTCAAGGGGAAAATATAAAAATCGGTAGAGCCGCCACTTGTCTTACATACGGCTTGCGCGCGCACGCGTGTGTTACCGTCTTGTGCAGTGTGCACGTATATAGTGGTCGTGGAGGTTGGTGTCTAGGCGCCAGGACATTTTGGCGCCAGCTAGAGCGGCGCCCGAGGGACGCTGTACGTCGGTGTATACAACGACGACGCCAAATACAATTATTATACTGAACGCGCACAGTGTATAGTCGGCGGCGGTGACTCCAATTACCTCCTCCCAAGAATTTCATCTGGCCCGCATCGGTCCTGTATAGGTTAGGGACCACCGTCGTTTTATTAAATTAATATTTACAAGTTGATACTATTGTGGTAATACCACGCGATGTTACACGGTGAGAACTATAGATACCTACTACGCGATGGTACACAACCGGAGGCAGGGATTTAACTTTATCACGGCTATAGGCACTAAACATTTGTAATAGCACCTTGATCTATTTGAATTTTCAGACAATTTTTAGAAAACATATTTTCTTACTTTTAGTTATTTAGATTATTTTTTTTTTTACTTCTTTTACTTTGAAAACATTTCAATGGATGTCCATCAAATTTTAACGAAAACGTACAATGATTATTTATATGAATCACCATTGATTGGACAATTAAGTAAACATTACATAATTTCTTTTAATTATAAAATAATGATTTTTTTTTTACTATACGAATGATGTATTTTAATAAACCGCTACAAGATTTAGCGCCCTTTATATTTTTTAAAAAAAGGACCAGTATAAATATTTCTATAACCATTTTTTTTTCTTATAATTACTGATATTGGTCGTTTTGTTTGTTTATTATTTGGGCCGTCATGACAGTAAAACTTTAAAATCGATCTCTTGAAAAATTAAATAATTATCTCTAACATTTATGCCTCATGCCAGAGATGGTCAACTGGCGGGCCACATCCGAACTGCGTATTTTTTTATCTGGTCCGCGCTAAATTTTTAAAATACGTTGATCGTAAAATGGAAATATTAGGGTTAGGTTAGGCATAGCTAATATAGCTTTTTTTTTTTTTTTAATAAAAATATCACTTTATTTTAGAATATTACAATCTATACAGGTGTACAATAAGTAATAATTACGGTAAAAAAAAAAAAAAATAGAGACTAAGGATGACATGATAGGAAATCTCACATTAGAGACACCTAGTGGTTATACATTTACATTTACGATTTACAATTTATACAATTTTTTAGTCACGGCACCAGTTCCGTTTGAGTCGTTGGTTGGATTTTCGGGTAGTGCTGGTATGGCAAGATCCCTGATAAGCTGGTTGGGGTTGGATTGTAGCTTTGTGTGGAAGCGTTTGTGGTATATTATGGCAGTTTCGTTGACAGAGCAGATTTTTAGATCAGAGTTTAATGCATTGTTGGAAATATACTAGGGTACTCCAATAATTATATAACAGTAGATATTCTGGAAGGCTTGGATGGTTCTCTTCTATGAATTTTTAGCAGAACCCCAAATTACTACCATGTATACCCAGAGTGATTGTATAAGAGTTATATTTATATTGAGTTTATAGAGTAATACTAGGTTTGAGCGGAGAAGTGGCCTTCGTAGGTGAAGTAGTGAGTATAGCTTTTTACGTTTGTCTTTGAGATGAGATGACCATGTTAGACGTTTGTCAATTTTAAGCGAAGATATTTCACTTCATTAGAGAAAGGGATAATAGTGTTATTTATTGTTACAGGAGGACAGTTATGGGGCCTGAGTGCAAATGTGATGAAGGAAAACTTCCATTCGTTGATTTTAATTTTCTATTTCGCGAATCATTGAGAAAGAGTATCAGTGTGTATTTGTAGTTGAAGACTTGCAGTGTTATGATCAACAACTGTAGATAAAAGTGCAGTATCGTCTGCGTAGGTTCCAATGATTGTTTTTATATACTTTTATATATTTTATTCATACTTTTTAAAGATATCTATAACAATAAGAATATATTTAAAATTCATTATTTTTTCTAGAATGTAATTGCATATCCATTAGATTATTTATATAGGATTTTTTGGATAAATTATCAATTATTTTGGTCAAGATAATCTGAAAGGCTAGAGAGGTTTAAAAAATATAGGACGAGCGTAATTTGTACTAAAAGTGTACTTCGTAAAATTCAAAAATTTTTGTTGGACATGCTAGTATCCTAATAGATTTAAGTAATATTATAATAGTAATATAATAATAGTACCTACAAATTAATATATGTAATGTATAATATTATTAATTCTGATTTTTTTGTATGCTGTATAAAATTAATACAATAATGACATTCGTTACTTCTATGAGCGATTTCGTCGATGCGTGACGTTTGCCCAACGATTGGTCCGAGATGAACTCGAACAAAGGGAAAACAAATCCCAGAACTGTTTTTAGGAGAAAAAAAAGAGATTGTTATTCGTCCTTGACACGACAAATATATATAAAGTAGTACATTGAGATAGATATTTCTTAGCGGAACACACTAAACATTTGTCATCCAATAAGATTTACAATGTATTGTACGATCGTAATAAATGTATCCAAATATAAAAAACACGTGTAACACACGTACGAGCAGTCAACTGTAGTATTATTATATTACCTTATTTTAACACAAGATGCAAGACCACGTGAATAACGGTAGTATATTCGTTCTCAAGTAAAACGACATGTTGAGTACGACCGATATAAGAGAACAATGCATTTACTGTCTAATACAACACAGGCTCATATCGCGTATTACATACTTAGGCCTATTTTCGAACAATTTTTTTTCGTGTCGCACACGTGCTTATTTCTCAAACGGCCAGGGGAATGTGTTTGGTAAAGATAGATCAAATTAAGAAAATTATCATCTGGGGTATCTAGGTATACATACTAAAACGAAGGCTTACGGAACCTTGTATAATCGGTAGTGCTCCTTAAAAAGAGGTTTCGCGATAAATTCATTCTTAACAAAATAAAATTCAAAACAAATTACCACCGAGCAATGTTTGGCGTGCATTATTTCATTATATTTTTGTTTTCAGCGTTAACCGAAAATGCATGCAGTTAATAAGCTCTCAATTATTCGGATAAATCACTACGACGAATGTCACCGCGCGTACGTATAACTCGTAAAAAGATTAAATATGGTGCGTCTGTACTCAACAATACCGGCCAAAATGACATGGTTCTATAGGTATATAAATATAATTTTATACGACTTAAAGATATACTTGTACGGGTTTTAATTAAACGTAAACGCACGCTCGCTTCGTCGGGAATGAATGAGATCTAATAGATCTGATACGGAAAAAATAGAGAAAACGAGATCCGATAAATATAAGAAAAAAAAGAACGAAAGGTCGTCGTCGAGTGACGATCGGTAGCGTACCATGAGCAGCAGACTATCAGCCGCAGTCGTGCCGCCGGTAAAAACGGTAATTTTCACGTTTCGTTCCTTGCGTACATTAAAAAAAATATATATACACGTATGATATATTGTTATTATTATTATTATCATCATCAACATTATTATATTGTTACACGGATGAAGGGGCATTTGACCGTTTAACCACTGTTACCACACCGTCGGTATAGCCAGCGGTTTACACGCACGTACAGCAACAGGGCCTCATGGCGACGGTGGCACGTTGCAAGTGATAAACGCGGACGCGCGTGTGTGTGAACCTGAGACGTTGGACTTTATGCACTGGCACATTACATTACACGACCAACACAAGCGTACGACGCGCGCGCGCGCGTCCTATAGTTGTACAATGGCCGCCCGTCACGACGGCGGCGGCCGTGGCAGCAGAAGGACGACGTGCCGACATATACAGAGTGAGCTGTACTTGACGTTACAGCGGCTTGATGAAAATTACGGAAAAAATTATTTTTTTTTAATTTTTTCGATTACGCTGTCTCGTGTGGCCGGTAGTCGTGCATTCGTTTTCTATTTCGCGTTTTATTTACGAGACAAAAAAAAAAAAAAAAAAAAAACAGACCCGTGAAATTACGATCACTCTGTACTTACGAGCGTTTGTGTTTACACGCGCACGTACGGCGGCGGCGGCGCACACACGTACGCGCACGAACATGTATATAATAATACATCGTGTATTGTCCCCGCGCGCACATACGGACTGGAAAAAAATAAGCCCGAGAAAATAGTGCACTGCCTGGCGGACGATGCCGCCAATACAACTCGTTATCACCGTGCCCCGTTATCAGTGTGGAACAACGTTTTAATTTTAAAAAATTTATTCAATATCGTAGTGTTTTTTTTTCCCCACAGCCCATTGTTCCGTTCAAGTTACGCGAAGTGCACGCTCACGAGTGTGTGCACGCGCGCGTGTATCCGACGAGTACGTTCGCACCGCCGTCATCTTACGAACAGCAGCAGCAGCCGTGCGCCCACCGAACGCCGTGTGTACACGCTACACACACACACACACACACACACACACACACACACACACGCATACACACATACAAATACGTACAAAAACACACACACTTTTACAAATATGCCTTCGCATATGAACTGTTGTTTCAACAAATGTACAAACTCTAGCCGGAGCACACAGAACCTCTCGTTTCACAAGTTCCCTACCAACGAGAGCCTGTGAGTATCGGTCGCTGTAGTGTTGCTCCCTAACATTACCGTTGGCTTATCATTTTATTATGTGTATTTGCTTTGTCTTGCAGGTGTAAACAGTGGGTTGAGTTGTGCCAGAACGACAAAGTCATCCAAAAATTTAAGAACCATGGTTCCAGCCAAGTATCCAAAAGCTTTAGGATATGTTCAGAACACTTTAAAAGAGAAGATTACGTTTTGTGGACGTCGAAAAAAAAATGAGTTTGCAATGCATAATTGTTACATAATTTCTTTTTACTATTTATGCGAATATGTTATAAGGGTATTACACAAAGGTTCCATTCCAACGGGACAGCCTGGGGGTCAGTTGATTAGTCCAAAAACAACACATTCGAACATAGCCACCTGGAGTGAAATGAGTAATTATACAGATCTATTAAGTAAAATGTTACTAGATATTAACTGGTTTTGTTGATTCATTTTTTAGTCACTGAGGAGGATGAGGCAGTTGCTAATAACACGGGTTGGAGTCCACGCGGTACTCCCAATTTTGATTTATCTGGCTCAGGTAAGTTTTAACGATAAACATTCACAATATGTCCTAATTAATCAATAGTTGTGTATTTTCTAGTACCTGACCAGGGTAAGTAAACGACCGGCGAAGGGCAGGGTAAAGCCCTTGCAAAACTCCAGTTCTCAAATAAGCAGTCCAGATAAATAGATTATACGTTTAATTGTATTGTTTTACTGAAATGAAGTGCAGACTTTATTGCTTATTAAGTGGTTACGTTTTTTTTTTTTAGCATACTAATAAATTACATTTGCTCTTTTGAAATTGAAGCCTTGGTCGTTATTTTTTACAATTTAGTTGTTTAGTTAATCATTTTTAATAAATTCAAATCTATAACATAAATACTTTTTCTTTTTTTAATTAAAATTTATATAAATTTACTTGAATATTAATTCTCTAAGCAGGTTTTAAAAAATATATATATATATATATTTTTTTTTTATACAAAAATGTGTGCGTTTGTTATTTGAATTTTTTCATTTATTTTAACATCATTTTTTTGTAAAATAAACCATAAATGTTTTGTAAAAATAGCTTCGACCAAGACTAGCACCACGAACACATTTTATTATTAATGGCGCGGCGCATTGCTATGAAAGTTATTTGTAAATAATCTTAGATTTTAATTAAAAGACAAAAATGGCTATTCTTAAGAGTTGTGCGAGTAATTTTTGTTAAGATTGAAAGTTTACACTATTTCATTCATTTAACAAATAAATACATTTAGGGTTATGGTTATATTTGTAACAATTTAATAATTTTAATTTAAAAAAATGTGTTATTGTCACTAAAGCTTCAAGAATGTTTGTTGTGCTAAGTTGTGTTAAGCTTATATTATAATTGAATGTGGTTTACTGTAATAAAATTGTTAGTTCTGAACTTTTTACTATACTTTAACAGTAATGAATACTAAAATTATTTGTTTTGAGTTTATATGCTTACTTGTGCAACTCTTTGTTTATGATTATTATTACATTTTAGTTTAAACAAACATATTTAATTATATTTTCAAAGAATATTGTTAAACATAAAATTGGCTCCATTAATTGTAATCTCTACAAGGGGATCATCAAATTGTATATTGGTTTTAGGAATCTATATACTTAAATAGAAAACTCCTTGAAAATAAATAATTTAAGTGATTATAATGTTACTTAAATATTATTGTCAATATAGACATTTGATAAATTGTATGAATATGAGAATTATTGTACTCATAAACATCTTCAATTAAATATTTTTTTAAGTTATTAATTAATTGAGTTATTTCAATTGTTATATGTACACACTTGCCTAAAAACAATGCTGCCTTTTTTTACAATATTATGCAAGTCCTCAATTTAATTTTTTCCTTTTGGAGGGAATATTTTTAATTTACAATAAATTTTATATCGGTGCCTGGATTTAACTGGTAGTATAATTTATTAAACTAGAAAGTTAAATATTAATTTTTTTAAATTTGAATGGTATGCAGTGTATTATTGATTTATTTTATAAAAAATTTTGTTTTTTAGATGAGTATAGTGATAGAAAAATATTATGAACTTTAATTACTATGGGCTTTTTCTGGATAAATTAATGAATCAAAATTAAGTATAAAAATTTGATTAATTAATTCTTCTGTTTTTTTTTTTTTTTTATGTTAAAAATAGTTCATTTTTACATTTAAGAAATATATTGGGTATAAAGAATAATAAAATATTTAAACAGTAATCATTGTTCATATCCAATTTTTTATATACGCTATTTTATATATTACTATAAATATCATAAAATACATCGGTTCATGAAATATGCAATAATAGAATTATTGAAACATTTTAAAATTCTGTAGTACTTATCAGTTGAACTTTCCCATTGTAGTTTTGTTGCTATGTTAACAAATTTAGTTGTTTTCAAGTTATCGTTTAAAAAATAAAAATATTTCTTCCTATAGTTAGTACTTACCAAGCAATTTTTACATAATATTTTTCATTATAATGTCATTGTTTGGGAGAAAATGATATCTTTAGGCAAGTAATAACTATCTAATATATTAAAATAATTATTAGATGTATTTATTTTTAATCATACATTTTGTTTAAAAATTAGGAAATCAGTGTACTTGTTAAGTAAGCTTATCCTTGTTATTTATTAGTATAAGATGAAAGAAACATAATAATAGTTTAGTTAACTATCATGCATAAAAAAATATAATTACAAATTTAATTCATCACATTTTTCAATATACTATATTGTAAATAACAAATAAATGTTCTTTGAATACAACTTAATAATATTTATCTATTTATATATATATATATTAATAGTAATGGTAATGTATTATCTTTGGATGGAAACATTGGTATTCACTAATTTTTAAAAATTGTATGGTACAATAAGTTTTACTTTTAATTAAAAAAAAAAAAAAAAATACTGCTAAATAACAAACTTTAATTTAAAAATAATTTATGCATAATTAAAAGCAATGACAACTTTTCATTTAACAAGGGTTATTTCTTTAAAAATTTATTTGCATTATATACAAAATTACATTTGAAGTAAATTCTATTTTTACTTCTTAACATACAAACAAGTATACAAAATATATATCTTAACCTTTTTTAAAATATAATCTTAATAGAAAAGTATAATTTTAGTACAATTTATATTACAAGTATTTTGAAAATCATCTAAATTACATTTTTATTGTAATTCAATTATCAAAAATTAAATATGAAAAATATAATGTTTATTTAACAAAAATTGATTCAACTTGTTAATGCATAAATAAAATATTAAATGTTTGATTAAAATTATATAACATTAAACTATTATTAAAACTAAATAAAATTTCACTGATCAATTGTTAATATAGTAGTATATATAATTGAAACTAGACTAAAAGTAAAAATGAATACAGTTTTAACTTTATGTGTTATATTAACTAATAATTGTGCATATGAGTCCTTTTAATTATTTCCAAGTAAAACAATATTACTATACATAAATTACAATTTATAAAAATTAATAATTAAAAATACATAGTTACTTGTTTACTGTAATTCAATGATATAATTTATAAAAACTAAACAGATACCATACATTGTCAATCATTGTTGTAATGACTAGATTAATTATTTGGTCATGAACCTACTGTATTAGGTAGAGCTTCAAGTCCTTTTTCTATTTGATTTTTTTTCGATTGATCCAAAGTATTACTCGGTTGTGTTTGTGGAATATCAACAACAGCTAAGCAACAATAAAAACAATTATGTAAATACCTGTTAATCGTATGTTGACCACATTTAAATTTTGAATTATAATTATTAGTTTTGGTGAAACACCTTAACTAAAAATCAAAATTGAAAATAACTTACTTGTATTAGGGCGTCCACCATATGGCAAACTAATAGCAGCAATAAATGCCAAACATGATGGAATCGTCCAATTGTAAACCATGATATCGCGATAGTAAGTTGGGCAAGTTTCACAATGCCTATTCAATGTTATAATTAATATTAATGGGATTAGATGAAGAAAAAAGTTATTATTGATGAGACTTACAAAGACTGCACTGCCATAACTACAGCTCCATTACATACTTTATCAGTGAAGCTCATCAATCCAAATGTGAAAGCACCACGATGGGTTTTATCACCAATAAAATCTGTAGTTAATGCTTGACTTGTAACTAATATGACTGAACAAGCAATACCTGAAATGATTAAAATACAAAAATGTATTAATATTAATGTGAACTCTTATTTAACATAAAAATATTTACCTATTATTACAGTAACTGCATAAATTTGATAATTAGCAAATGTAGAACTATTGCCAAAGTAAACCCACATCGCTGAACCCAAAGACAACAATACACCGAAGGAGTATGTAATCTGTACATAATGTTAATGTTAAATTAATGATTGGTCAAAAAATGTTGTTACAAAAAAATATATTGATATACCTTTCTACCAAGTTTCATATTCATGAACTTATTGAGGAACGACATACCAAAACTGCTAAGGAACATTATCAATGGTAACAATGCTAGTTTTTCTGCAGTCAGTTTTAAATAGTCTTGCAAATACATTGGCAAAAATACCTACAGGAAAAATAATGAATGAAATATAAATAATTTTATTGCAATGATAGATTTACAGTGCTATATTTACCAAAGTCATATTGACTGTAATTCGAGAACACATATATACAACAGCCGTTTGGTAAAGAGAAAAACGTTTGAACATGGACCAAAAACTATTGGCAGCACGTTCAGCTTCAGTTTCGGTCATCAGAAGTTCTCGATTCATACGGTTATTAGCCAGGGGTTCACGTACACCAATGTGGAATATTATAGTAGTCATAGCTCCAACAATCATAATCACCAATATAACTATCTACAAAATAGATAGTAATTAATTATTGTTTGGTATTTATTTTTAAAACCACTTGTAGCAATATATATTTATGTCATGAAAACCAAAGTTGACAGATTGTGTATATATATATATATATATATAGTTAAATTAAAGTTAAGTCGGAAAATTGCTTGAAAAATATAAATACAATTTTAACCAAAATGGAATATTTTATGAACACAAACGGAATTCATAGGACTCTTGTCATAAGATTATTTTATATTGTAACAATAATTTATATCTGTGTACTTACACTTGTGCGATTTGCAACAGGACGAATTAATATAGTTAAGTACGGGTTGGAAATTACTAACTCGTAGGTAATTATAGTTAAAAATTAGTGTTTTAAGGATATAATATGTATTATATTTTGTTAAAGCTTTGTGTAAGTATTTATTGTATAGTTTATTTTTACAAATACTTAAAAAGCTGTACGATGAAGAAATTTCTTATTGATAAAAAGTAAAGGCTAGGTATATATAGTTTTTAATATGGTATAGTATGAGTTCTTCATTAGTGTAATGAATATTTATAAAAGTTAGGTAGCGGGGACGTCGAATACGATACTTACTTGGAATTCTTTTCGTTCCGAAGGACCGAACTGTGTTTTGTTCGCGTTGTTGCTCCTGAGTACGATCCACGTGACCACATACACCAGGATGTTTGAAAAAACGGTAAAGCTATATCTGTGTGCATCGTCATATTTCGTAAAAAAAATCATATAAGTATTTCGTAAAGGATGTGCAAAAAAATTAAAATGTCATACCTCACAGATAGCAAGGCCGTTCGTTCGTCCCTGATCGGTGTCAGGTCCGAGGCTAGTGCCATGTGTGAGTTTTCTATGGAAGCCCATCCGATCTGAAAGAAAACGATGAAGAAACAGTAGTAGAGGGCAGTGTTCAACTCTGAGCTCTCGACCTGTGGCAATATTGGCGGCGAGAACGCAAACGGCAGACTGATGAACACCAAAACACTGCCTGCACAACGGGAATGATGAAAAAAAAAACGTACTCGTAAGAATGTGTTGTTTGCGCACAACAGATAGGAAAGAATATTGGAAAACCACTGGTGCATACATAGGTGGAACTCTAGTTAAGCAATGAGAGTTAAGAGCAAATACGCTCGGACCTAATCACATTTTACGGAGACTTTAATTAAATTTTTTTTAGAACGCTTAACGTTTACGATGTACTCGTACGTGCACAGTGGTTAAGACAGGGGGGTTGGTTGTTTAAACCCCCCATTGTCTTTCTAAATATAATAAATGTATTATTTATATTATTGTATATTTATAATATTACAGCCCGAAGATGTTTCGAATTAATTAGCTATAAAAATAAAAATATATTTGTTGTAGATACATGGTTAATATTATAATTATGTTCATAATATTATATGGATTTATGTATAATTCTATAAACAAATAAAAAAAAATAATTTTTATATTGTGATGTTAATAACATATAATTATAATATTGTATATTCACAAGATCACAATTGAACTTTGTTCTTGAATAATTCAATTGAGCAACAAATCTAACGAAAACTAAAAAAAAACCAAGTTTAATTTACACTTACACCCTTCCTTACAAAATCCTGGCTACGCCACTGTACGTGCAAGTAAAGCGTGATATTGAATGCGTTTACACCATGTTACATTGGTACATATTTTTGCGGGCTTAAAAATATTATATTTATTAAATAGTTTTCAAAGTGTTGAAGATTAGAGGATTAACGGAAACGGTAAATGTTCAAAATTATTTTTATATAGTATTATACCCATAGTAGAAAAGTAAATATTATTATACATAAAAAGAATTACTCGTGTGAGATACGTTCACTAATTTTAATCATTCACACGTGGAAAGTTTATAATTTTCCAACAAATGCTGAAATAGAGGCGTCGCATACAAACATATCACGAATAGGACTAACTCGCTGGAAAATTAGGCGGCCGGTGTTTTTGGGTAAGTATGTGTCACTATAGTCGCAATTAGGAGGGAGATGGAGGGGCTAAGCCCCCTCAAAACATTCAAAGTCCCCCTCCAAAAACCACGGAGAACTTTATATTATTATATTGATAAATAAAAAAAAATATGTGATTACTACTGAAAATATTAAATTTATTTTTATTTTTAAGTTTTACTTGCCTTCCAATAAACACATTTTTTATAGAGGGCGAAAGGTGAAAAAAAAGTTTCTAGGAGGCTGAAGCCCCCCAAATTTTTTACTCCAATTGCGCCTATGTGTGTCACGCTAATTATCTCATTAAACCAACTCCGATAAAACGGCCGTGGGCATCATGTATTCACCATCGATGGACCAAGTATTTCGAACATAAAAATCCCTTAATAAAACGTATACTACTAGCAGGGGGTGGTTGGTGTCAGAAAATTAAAATTCACCCCACATGGAAAAATAGCGGTCTGCACGCCACTGGTTCGGAGTGCAGGATGGTTGGTCGCACGGTAAATTTGTAGGCAACACCTTAGCCCGCCCACGTCTAGCGATTTGCTTACCAAACAAGTGCCAGGTCTTTCGGCGGCCGTATCGATCGGTGCAATAGACGTTGACGTTATCGGACAGCACGCCAATAGCGGCAGTGGCGACCGCGTCCGTCAGCTGACCGACCAGAACCACGGCCCCGGCGTTGATGCTCGACAATTGCATGACGTAGTGATAGAACACCAGGGCGTATGTGAACCACATGGAGGCAACCAAATCGTTGAGTACATGCCCCACGCCGTACGACATGAACGCGAACCATTTGAGAGAGTCTGACATTTTGCCTTCATCACCTGTGAACCGGACGTACCAAACATTAGCAAACACAATGTCATGACGATAATTAATGTTGACTTCAACAAGCAGAAACCTTTTCTCAACGAAGCGCATGAAAATATGCGTCAATGGTATTTATATATATATATATATATATTATATAATATTCGTATATAATATTCTAAAATAGGTTTTAGCGAGAGAGCAAAACTTTAAACTCGTGATTGTCGGATCTACAAACCGTGTACGGTATACAATACCGTAAGTGTAACCACGTACATCCGTAGATCCGTCATATATTATCAAGGGCGGAACTAGGAAGTGTAAGACGAGAATTCATCTCCCAGGCGTAAAATTTTAGAGGGTGTAATTTTTGTAATTTATTAACAACTAATTTGATATTTTTAAATTTGTTAAATACCGATATTAGACTAAAACTCAATAAGTATGATTTTATATTAATTGTTAGAAAAAAATTCTCGAGAAAAGTATTTGATTATTGGTCTATGTAGGGCGTAATTTTATCATATTCCCTGGGTGTAAAAATTCCTAGTTCTACCTCTGTATATTATATATCTATACTGCTTCTGTGGGTGTGCTTGTATACCACACGGTACCGAGAATAGGTCACCGTGGACGCAGTAAACCATTATTGTGATTTTATATATTTATTATTATATTTGATTTTTTTTAATTTATTCGTTACATATTAAATGCACATTTGTTGACGATAAGTGGAACAAATCACGTCGTTATCGATACTGCTGTTCGGAAATTATTGTAAATATTCGTTTTTGAATTCGTCAAAAATAATACAATTCGATAGGACAATATTGACTAACGTATACTAAATATCGAAGTAAGTTTGAGAACTCGCGGACAGTCGGTAATAACACAAGAATGTGTTTTTAACCTGAAATCATATTATTCTTGTGTTATTACCGACTGTCTGCGAGTCATTAAACTTACTTCGATCTTCAGTATACGTTAGTCAACATTAATTACCAAACAATAAATAATTAACAAATTATATTAAATACTCGTAACACTCTTTTTTTGTAATTTAAAAAAATATTGAAAATTATGAAATTTGTACAATTAAAAGTTATTTTTTTAAACTAATGAATGCAATCTTTATGTGAGTTAAGGAAAACTAAGTTTGATTAGATTTATTAACACAGGAAATAAACCTATTATTAATAAATCCTTATGGGACTTCACGTTGTGCAGGAGGCTTTTGTTACTATACGACGATATCTCGATAATTGTAATCCCTGGAAACTCTCCATACATTAAATAATAGTTTACTTTAAGACTCGAAAAATGTACAAACTTTCTATTTAATTATCTTTATTTAATACAACCAGATTCTATACTAGATTTCTATATTTATATTTATACCAGAAGTATAAAAAGTATAATTTATTTTTATAAAAAAAATTAAACAAAAGTAAAACCGCATCGATTTATTATTCCATTTATGAATTAACTTTGTAAATAACATAAGTACAGATATATTAAAATAAATAATTAACCGTAAAATAATTTATATTAGGTATTTATTTTAAATATAACTCGTATTCAACATGAACCGATGGCCCTCCGTAAACTATAAGAATTTGAATATATATTATTATAAAATAGACATTAATAATTTAGAAAAATGACTATATGGATGAATATGGGTTACCGGGGAAGATCAAAGGTTAGTAATGTCGCAAACAATCGACCATAGTTGTGTTGGTATTATACATCTGCATAATTATTCTACGATGGCGATGATAAATTATAGATTTATAATTTGATAATCACTAACAACCAATATTCCTGTTATGTATTCATATGCATCTAAAAAATTGTTCCAATACAAAATGGGAAAAAAAATACAAATTGGTAATCGTATTTCGGCGAAAAGGTTATCATACTCATTATTTGAACACATAAAATAAAATGTTTAGTATAGGTATTTAAATTATTTTTATTCTGATTTAATTTTAGTTGCTGCAGATTAAGATATACGGCAAAACATCAATTTATGAAATTTCGTATAGAATTAAATCAAATAACATACATCGAAAACTAAGCATACAATTTTGTTGAAGAATTTCAATTATATTAAGAAATATTTATTATATGTCAAGTGGTATTGTATTACAAGAACGAGAGATTAGTGTAAAACTGCAAATTGCTTAATAATAAGAAAAAACCATAATTAACCAAAATATTTGAAACTATTTATAATTATAAAAACTATTAAACGATTAAGGTTTTATCGAAGAGCAATGGTCAAAGTTTATCACTGTAGACAATGAATATATACGTTCAAACAAAATGTTCTATATCTGCGATATTACATACAACACAAAAAACAGAGTGAAGCCGGCCAGTAACATGATAGCATAAATAGGTTTTAGCTATCAATTTTTTAATTTATTAATACTAATCCCAAAAAAACAAAATATTTTTAATTTTATTATAAAACTCAACAAAGACCTAATGTTGTTATCAATCGTTTTTATTAGAAAAAGACTGAAATAATTGATATTTAAATATTATGGCTGAACATCATTATCATAATTGGAAAATTAAAAGCTCATTTTTTGGTTAACCTAGAAATTACTCGTATTTAAGTTTGGATAAATAATTAAATAAATACTTTTTTTATAAAAGTTTTTCGAAAACCGATGTAAAATTGATAAATTATGATTCAAGGATTCAATTTACAATTAATGAAAAGGTATCAACTGCATGAAATATTTAAAAAGAATTGTCTAACTAATTAAAATATTCACTTAATATTTATATAATTATATAAACATACGAAGAAAATCTTTATAAAATAATAAAAATAAATATATTCTTTATTTCGACTAGAATCTCAAATTATTAACGAAGGGCAGTTCATTGTCTGAAAAATTTGCCAAAAAAAAAACAATTTGTTGTTTAAAATTGTTCTTCAACATTTAATATTTTAATATTGTATGAAGCATTATTAAAAGTTTCTTTTGGTACAAATGAATTAATTGAAAACAAAAACTTTCCTAAGAAATTTTCGAGTTCTTGAAATATAGAAAAAAAAATCTATAACCGTATTACAAAATAATATTGTAGTTAGTTAATGGCGAAAAATGTTTTATTTAATTATTTCTTTTATGATTTAGATCATTTTATTTTATAAATCAGTATAAAACGGATTACCTGGTTTATGTATATATATCATTGTACGAATATTATTGATTGTTGCGAGATGAATTCAAATAACATTATCATGATTTAACAGTTTAAATTCATGAATCGACAAAAATATTTTTTATAGTACTTAAGTTTATTGAAAAAAGTGCATACGTACACTTTTTAATAAAAAAAAAAGGTTTAACTGATAAATCATGCACTGCAGAGATAATTGTTTTAAACACTAATGTTTATTATATAGTAGATCAAAGCAGTAAAAACAATTAATATACTTCTTGAAACAGATAATAGGTGTAACTCTTACTTAAACAATAGTATTTAATTATTTCTAATCTATATAAGTACATTTAATGAAAAAATATTGAGTAATTGAGTAGCCAAAATGGTACCTAAAGATAATTATATTGATTAATCTATACATAATAATAATATTGCTTAGAATACTATGATGAATCTGTCGTAGAGTTATATTAATTGAGATCAATGTTTCAGGGCGTCATTTGAGAGGAGGGGATTGCACCCGCAAACCATGGCAAATTTTTATCTAAAACTGGCCTAGAAATGTATAGTTAATTGATACTATAGCCTTGGCCTTCCGCTTTAAATATTTAATTTTTGAAACAATAAAACATCTTAATATGCCATTTTTATTCATCTCAAATGAATAATATTATTACTAAAATGGTAAATGGTTCTCTCCACGGTGGAGATTTTATCTGTGGTAGATAATACAAGTAAATATTATAAGGTCTATGTGCAATAAATATATTTTGGATAAAAAAATTCTAAAGTGAAAATACAAGAAACGGTTTTTTTACAATTGGTCTGTAGATTGTGGATTAAAGAGTGGTGGGAAAAAAATGGCCTTTTAAATTGTTTGCACACCATTAAAAAAACTAAAATGACGCCCTTGCAATACTTTTGAAAAAATTTTAGAGAAATAAAAACAAAAAACTAGGTTAGAGAGTAAGTTCTGTATGCTTTATTAACCGATATTAATACATAAATTTAAAAACATTTAGAAAATTCTCATCAAATTTTCAGTTCTGAAAAATTCTTCTAATAAATTAATTTTTAAACCACAAAGTACATAAAATCACCTATTTTACCAAAAGAATTATAAATTATTGTGTAACAATTTTTACCAATTTGTTTTCAGTATATAATTAATATTTAGGAAAATAATACTGAGAAAATTATGAAAACAGTATGTATATATGATATAAATTAAAGTATACTACTTTAAATTTTCAATAAAATTATAAATGTTGCTTAATATTTGTGGTGTAGAGCTGCTAACTGAAAATTTAATAGTAGAAAAAACCTCAAAGTTAATAATATTATATTATATAACTAATATTCATGCTTTCTTTAGAATCTAAATTACTATACAGTCAAATAAAAGTATAATAATAATAATTTTATGAAAGTAAAATTCAATATAAACCTATTATTAGAAAATTATTATTTCATTAAAAATCATGCGAGATATATTGAGAAGATATTATATACATTATATTAAATAATATTTTTTCATATAACATTGGATATTATTGTACTCAATGAACAATGATATAATATTTTATACTGAAAAATAGTCTTTTTCATTATTAAATCTTACACATAGTTTTTAATAATTACTTTATGAATGTTATAACAAGAATAGTTATTTATTTATTTTGGAATTTGTGTATATAATAAAAACTTTACAGAATATAAGAAGCCGAAGAGATTTAAATTTAAGTTCAGAATATCAGACGCAAGTGACAGTTATACCGATGAGTATTACTGTATGCAGGTAGTATATTTCTGGTATGGTGTGAAA